CTTGAGGAGGCTGGTGGGGAGCTCAGACTCAAGTGGGTCAAGTCCCACGTTGGGCATCGACATAATGCCGTTGCCGACCTGCTGGCAGCAGACGGAGCGTACAGAGGAAACCTGCTGACAGCACCGGTCCCGTGGGTGCACACTAGGGAGCTGATACAGAGGAAGTACGCGTCGAGAGGAGACAGGGACTGGGCAAGGAAGAGTAGTGATCTGAGGGCTAGCTGGGCGGGCGTCAACCTCGGACCGAGGCAGCGGAGGGTGATTAAGGCAGCGCACCTATCGCCGGTCGACAGGCGGAGACTCATGGAGGTTATCAGTGGCCACTCTGTCACCAGAAGACACTGGTGCAAGATAGATCGGAACTTGGGTCCTGAGTGCCGTTTCTGTGGGGCGGAGATGGAGGATGAGAGGCACATCATCTTCGAGTGCAGGCGCTTCGCGTTGGAGAGGATCAGGCTGAAGCGCAGGCTAGGCTGGAGAAGCTTGCCATATCACATAGGGAACTTCCTATCTTCACCCTCGAGGCTGCGGGTGCTGATGGGATTCTTGAGGAGGGTCTGGCCGGCCTTGGAGGGGCGAGATGTGGCCGCAACTCCAGCGGCAGCCACAGGAGACTCCGTGCATTGATGTAAAAAAAAAAAAAAAAAGAAAAAAAAAAAGAAAAAAAAAAAAAAAGAAAAAAAAAAAAAAAAAAAAAAAAAAAAAAAGAGAAAAAAAAAAAAAAAAAGAAAAAAAAAAAAAATGTATAATTTCGTATTATTTGCCTCTACTATTCTTCTATTTCTTGTACCGTTTTATTTTCCCTCTACACCTAATTAATTACCATTGGCAGAGCCTCAGCCGGAAGGGGTTCACCACGGGGACGAACTATCTACAGGCCCCGCAGCCTGTGTGCCGCCAAGGCCGTATACTGCGCTCAGCGCGGTCGGCAAAAGGGCACCCAACAACAACAACAACAACAACTGAGGAAGCGATCACGTCCTCAAGGGTGACAACTACTCTATCCTCCTCTACAACTCCGACGACTGACTTTGTCGCGACCTCTACTACGACAGAGAGTCTCGAGGAGGGCAAGATCGATGAATTGTCCTCTTCAAGTACTACGACATCTACTACATCGACCACTACTGAGGAAGCGATCACGTCGTCAACAATGACAACTACTCTTTCCTCCTCTACAACTCCGAGTACTGATGCTACTGCGACTTCTACTACGACGCATAGTCTCGGGGAAGATGGGATCGATGAATTGTCTTCTTCTAGTACTGCGACATCTACTTCATCGACCACTATTGAAGAAGCTACCACGTCCACAACAGTGACAACTACTTTGTCCTCTTCTACAATGTCGACTCCCGACGTTACCGCGACTTCTACTACGACGCAGAGTCTCGAAGAGGGCTGGGTCGATGAACTATCCTCTTCAAGTACTACGACATCTACTACATCGACCACTACTGAGGAAGCGATCACGTCCTCAAGGGTGACAACTACTCTATCCTCCTCTACAACTCCGACGACTGACTTTGCCGCGACCTCTACTACGACAGAGAGTCTCGAGGAGGGCAAGGTCGATGAATTGTCCTCTTTAAGTACTACGACATCTACTACATCGACCACTACTGGAGAAGCGATCACCTCGTCAACAATGACAACTACTTTGTCCTCCTCTACAACTTCGACTACCGATGTTACCGCGACTTCTACTACGACGCATAGTCTCGGGGAAGATGGGCTCGATGAATTGTCTTCTTCTAGTACTGCGACATCTACTTCATCGACCACTATTGAAGAAGCTACCACGTCCACAACAGTGACAACTACTTTGTCCTCCTCTGCAATGTCGACTCCCGACGTTACCGCGACTTCTACTACGACGCAGAGTCTCGGAGAAGATTTGCTCGGGGAATCGCCCTCTTCTAGTACTACGACAACTACTGCATCGACCACCACTGAAGAAGCGACCACGTCCACAACAGTGACAACTACTTTGCCTTCCTCTACAACGCCGACTACCGACTTCGCCGCGACCTCTACTACGACAGAGAGTCTCGAAGAGGGCTGGGTCGATGAACTGTCCTCTTCAAGTACTACGACTTCTACTACATCGACCAGTACTGAGGAAGCGATCACGTCCACGACAGTGACAGCTACTCTATCCTCCTCTACAACTCCGACGACTGACTTTGCCGCGACCTCTACTATAACAGAGAGTCCCGAGGAAGACTGGGCCGACGAACTGTTCTCTTCTAATACTACGATATCTACTACGTTAACCACTTCTGAAGAAGAGATCACGTCGTCAACAATGACGACTACTCCGTCCTTCTCTACAACTCCGATTACCGATGTTACCTCGACTTCTCCTACGACGCAGAGTCTCGGAGAAGATTTGCTTGGTGGATTGCCCTCTTCTAGTACTACGACAATTACTACATCGACTACCACTGAAGGAGCGACCACGTCCACAACAGCGACGACTACTTTATCTTCCTCTACAACGCCGGCTACCGACTTCGCCGCGACCTCTACTGCGACAGGGAGTCTCGGGGGAGATGAGCTCGATGAATTGTCTTCTTCTAGTACTGCGACATCTACTACATCGACCAGTACTGAGGAAGGGATCACGTCCACAACAGTGACAGCTACTTTGTCCTCCTCTACAACGCCGACTACCGACTTCGCCGCGACCTCTACTACGGAAGAGAGTCTCGAGGAGGGCTGGGCCGATGAACTGTCCTCTTCAAGTATTACGACATCTACTACATCGACCAGTACTGAGGAAGTGATCACGTCCACAACAGTGACAACAGCTCTGTTTTTCTCCACAACGCCGACTACCGACTTCGCCGCGACCTCTACTACGGAAGAGAGTCTCGAGGAGCGCTGGGTCGATGAACTGTCCCCTTCTAGTACTACGACATCTACTGCATCGACCACTACTGAAGAAGCGACCACGTCGTCAACAATAACAACTACTCCGACCTTCTCTACGACTCCAACCGACGTTACCGCGACTCCTACTACGACGCAGAGTCTCGGGAGTAATTGGTTGGATGAGGTGTCCTCTTCTAATACTACGACATCTACTACATCAAGCACTATCGAAGAAGTGATCACATCCTCAACAGTAACAACTTCTCTGTCCTCCGCGACAACTTCGACTACCGAGGTTACTGCGACTCCTACTACGACGGAAAATCTCGAGGAAGTTTGGGTCGATGAATTATCTTCTTCTAGTACTACGACATCTACCACATCGACCACTGCGGAAGACGCAACCACATCCTCAACAACCATGACTACTCTGTCCTCTACAACTCCGACTACCGAAGTTGCTGCGACTTCTACTCTGACTTCCACGACGACAGAGGGTCTCGAGAAAACTAGGGTCGATGAATTGTCTTCTTCTAGTACTACGACATCTACTACATCGACCACTACTGAAGAAGCGATCACGTCGTCATCAACCCGAACTATTCTCTCCTCCGGGACAACTTCGACTACCGCGGCTACAGCGACTCCTACTACGACGGAAATTGTCGAGGAAATTTGGGTCGAGGAATTGTCTCCTTCCAATACTACGACATCTTCTACGTCGACCACTACTGAAGGAGCGACTACGTCCTCAACCACCACAACTACTCTGTCCTTCTCTACAACTCCGACTACCGAGGGTACTGCGACTTCTACTACGACGGAGAGTTTCGAGGAAGTTTGGGTCGATGAATTGTCACCTTCCAGTACTACGACATCTAGTACATGGACCACTACCGAAGAGGCGACCACGTCCTCAACAAGCACAACTATCCTTCCCTCCTCTACAACTCCGACTACCGAGGTAACTCCGACTCCTACTACGACGGAGAGTCTCACGGAAGTTCGGGTCGAGGAATTGTCTTCTTCAAGTACTACGACATCTACTACGAGCACTACTGAAGAAGCGACCACGCCCTCGACAACCACAACTACTCTGTCCTCCCCTAAAACTCCGACTACCGAGCTTCCTGCGACGGAGAGTCTCGCGGAGGTTTGGGTCGATGAATTGTCCCTTCCCAGTACTACGACATCTACTACATCGACTACTACTGAAGAAGCGATCACGCCGTCAACAACCACAACTACTCTGTCCTCTGCGACAACTTCCACTACCGAGGTTACTGCGACTCGTACTACGACGGAAATTCTCGAGGAAGTTTGGGTCGAGGAATTGTCTCCTTCCACTACTACGACATCTTCTACTTCGACCACTACTGAAGGAGCGACCACGTCCTCAACCACCGCAACTACTCTGTCCTTCTCTACAACTCCGACTACCAAGGGTACTGCGGCTCCTACCACGACGGAGAGTTTCGAGGAAGTTTGGGTCGATGAATTGTCACCTTCCAGTACTACGACATCTAGTACATGGACCACTACCGAAGAGGCGACCACGTCCTCAACAACTACAACTACTTTGCCCTCTACAACTCCGACTACCGAGTTTACTGCGACTCCTACGACGGCGGAGGGTCTCGAGGAAACTAGGGTCGATGAACTGTCTCCTTCTAGTACTACGACATCTTCTACACCGACCACTACTGAAGAAGCGCTCACGTTCTCAGCAACCACAACTACTTTGTCGTCTCCTACAACTCCGACTACCGAAGTTACTGCGACTCCTATCACGACGGAAAGTCTCGAGGAAGTTTGGGTCGATGAATTGTCACCTTCTAGTACTACGACATCTAGTACATGGAGCACTACCGAAGGGGTGACCACGTCCTCAACCACCACAACTAGTCTGTCCTCTACAACTCCGACTACTAAGGTTACTGAGACCTTTACTACGACGGAAAGCCTCGAGGAAGTTTGGTTGGAAGAGTCGTCTTCTTCTAGTACTACGACTTCTAGTACGTGGGCCACTACCGATGAGGCGTCCACGTCCTCAACAACCACAACTACTCTGTCCTCTACAACTCCGACTACCGAGGTAACTGCGACTCCTACGATCGCAGAAGGTCTCGAGGAAACTACGGTCGATGAACTGTCTCATTCTAGTACTACGACATCTACTACACCGACCACTATTGAAGAGGCGATCACGTCCTCAACAACCACAACTACTCTGTCCTCCGCGACAACTTCCACTACCGAGGTTACTGCGACTCCTACTACGACGGAGAGTCTCGAGGAAGTTCGGGTTGGGGAATTGTCTTTTTCAATTATTACGACATCTGCTACGCCGAGCACTACTGAAGGAGCGACCACGTCCTCAACCACCACAACTACTCTGTCCTTCTCTACAACTTCGACTACCGAGGGTACTGCGACTTCTACTACGACGGAGAGTTTCGAGGAAGTTTGGGTCGATGAATTGTCACCTTCCAGTACTACGACATCTAGTACATGGACCACTACCGATGAGGCGACCACGTCCTCAACAACCACAACTACTCTGCCCTCTACAACTCCGACTACCGAGGTAACTGCGACTCCTACGATGGCAGAAGGTCTCGAGGAAACTACGGTCGATGAACTGTCTCATTCTAGTACTACAACATCTACTACACCGACCACTATTGAAGAGGCGATCACGTCCTCAACAACCACAACTACTCTGTCCTCCGCGACAACTTCTACTACCGAGGTTACTGCGACTCCTACTACGACGGAGAGTCTCGAGGAAGTTCGGGTTGGGGAATTGTCTTTTTCAAGTATTACGACATCTGCTACGCCGACCACTACTGAAGGAGCGACCACGTCCTCGACAACCACAACTACTCTGTCCTTCTCTACAACTTCGACTACCGAGGCTACTGCGACTTCTACTACGACGGAGAGTTTCGAGGAAGTTTGGGTCGATGAATTCTCACCTTCCAGTACTACGTCATCTAGTACATGGACCACTACCGAAGAGGCGACCTCGTCCTCAACAGGCACAACTACCCTTCCCTCCTCTACAACTCCGACTACCGAGGTTACCATGACTCCTACCACGAGCGGAATTCTCGAGGAAGTTTGGGTCGATGAATTGTCTTCTTCTAGTACTACGACATCTACTAGGTCGACCTCTACTGAAGTGGCGACCACGTCCTCAACAACCTCGTCCTCAACAATCACGTCTTCAACAACCACAACTACTGTCTCCTCCGCAACAACTTCGACTACCGAGGTTACTGCGACTCCTACTATGACGGAAAGTCTCGAGAAAGTTTGGGTCGATGAGTTGTCTCCTTCTAGTACTACATTCACCACTACTGAAGAAGCGATCACGTCCTCAACAACCACCACTACTCTGCCTTCTTCTACAATGTCGACTACCGAGGTTACGGCGAGTTCTCCTGCGACGAAGAGTCACGAGGAAGTTTGGTTCGATGAATCGCCTACTTCCAGTACTACGACTTCTAGTACGTGGACCACTACTGAAGAGGCGAGCACGTCCTCATCAACCACAACTACTCTTTCGTCCTCTACAACTCCGACTACCGAGGTTTCTGCGACTTCTACGACGACGGAGAGTCTCGAGGAAACTAGGGTCGATGAACTGTCTCCTTCTAGTACAACGGCATCTACTGCATCGACCACTACTGGAAACGCAACCATGTCGTCAACGACTATAGCTACTCTGTCCTCCTCCACAACCTTGCCTACCGAGGCTATTGCGACTCCTACTACGACGGAGGGTCTTGAGGAAGTTTGGGTCGAGGAATTGTCTCCTTCCACTACTACGACATCTGCTACGCCGAGCACTACTGAAGGAGCGACCACGTCCTCGACAACCACAACTAGTCTGTCCTCTACAACTCCGACTACTGAAGTTACTGCGACTTCTACTACGACGGAGAGTCTCAAGGAAGATTGGGTCGATGAATTGTCTTCTTCTAGTACCACGTCCTCTATTACGTCGGCCACTACTGAGGAAGCGACCACGTCCTCAATAACCGCAACTAGTCTGTCCTCTACAACTCGGCCTACTAAGGTTACTGAGACCCCTACTACGACGGAGAGCCTCGAGGAAGTTTGGTTGGAAGAGTCGTCTTCTTCCAGTACTACGACTTCTAGCACGTGGACCACTACCGATGAGGCGACCACGTCCTCAACAACCACAACTACTCTGTCCTCTATAACTCCGACTACCGAGGTAACTGCGACTCCTACGATGGCAGAAGGTCTCGAGGAAACTACGGTCGATGAACTGTCTCATTCTAGTACTACAACATCTACTACACCGACCACTATTGAAGAGGCGATCACGTCCTCAGCAACCACAACTACTCTGTCCTCCGCGACAACTTCTACTACCGAGGTTACTGCGACTCCTACTACGACGGAGAGTCTCGAGGAAGTTCGGGTTGGGGAATTGTCTTTTTCAAGTATTACGACATCTGCTACGCCGACCACTACTGAAGGAGCGACCACGTCCTCGACAACCACAACTACTCTGTCCTTCTCTACAACTTCGACTACCGAGGGTACTGCGACTTCTACTACGACGGAGAGTTTCGAGGAAGTTTGGGTCGATGAATTGTCACCTTCCAGTACTACGACATCTAGTACATGGACCACTACCGAAGAGGCGACCTCGTCCTCAACAGGCACAACTACCCTTCCCTCCTCTACAACTCCGACTACCGAGGTTACCATGACTCCTACCACGAGCGGAATTCTCGAGGAAGTTTGGGTCGATGAATTGTCTTCTTCTAGTACTACGACATCTACTAGGTCGACCTCTACTGAAGTGGCGACCACGTCCTCAACAACCTCGTCCTCAACAATCACGTCTTCAACAACCACAACTACTATTTCCTCCGCAACAACTTCGACTACCGAGGTTACTGCGACTCCTACTATGACGGAAAGTCTCGAGAAAGTTTGGGTCGATGAGTTGTCTCCTTCCAGTACTACATTCACCACTACTGAAGAAGCGATCACGTCCTCAACAACCACCACTACTCTGCCTTCTTCTACAATGTCGACTACCGAGGTTACGGCGAGTTCTCCTGCGACGAAGAGTCACGAGGAAGTTTGGTTCGATGAATCGCCTACTTCCAGTACTACGACTTCTAGTACGTGGACCACTACTGAAGAGGCGACCACGTCCTCATCAACCACAACTACTCTTTCGTCCTCTACAACTCCGACTACCGAGGTTTCTGCGACTTCTACGACGACGGAGAGTCTCGAGGAAACTAGGGTCGATGAACTGTCTCCTTCTAGTACAACGGCATCTACTGCATCGACTACTACTGGAAACGCAACCATGTCGTCAACGACTATAGCTACTCTGTCCTCCTCCACAACCTTGCCTACCGAGGCTATTGCGACTCCTACTACGACGGAGGGTCTTGAGGAAGTTTGGGTCGAGGAATTGTCTCCTTCCACTACTACGACATCTGCTACGCCGAGCACTACTGAAGGAGCGACCACGTCCTCAACCACCACAACTAGTCTGTCCTCTACAACTCCGACTACTGAAGTTACTGCGACTTCTACTACGACGGAGAGCCTCGAGGAAGTTTGGTTGGAAGAGTCGTCTTCTTCCAGTACTACGACTTCTAGCACGTGGACCACTACCGATGAGGCGTCCACGTCCTCAACAACCACAACTACTCTGCCCTCTACAACTCCGACTACCGAGGTAACTGCGATCCCTACGATGGCAGAAGGTCTCGAGGAAACTACGGTCGATGAACTGTCTCATTCTAGTACTACAACATCTACTACACCGACCACTATTGAAGAGGCGATCACGTCCTCAACAACCACAACTACTCTGTCCTCCGCGACAACTTCTACTACCGAGGTTACTGCGACTCCTACTACGACGGAGAGTCTCGAGGAAGTTCGGGTTGGGGAATTGTCTTTTTCAAGTATTACGACATCTGCTACGCCGACCACTACTGAAGGAGCGACCACGTCCTCGACAACCACAACTACTCTGTCTTTCTCTACAACTTCGACTACCGAGGTTCCTGCGACGGAGAGTCTCGCGGAAGTCTGGGTCGATGAATTGTCCCTTCCCAGTACTACGACATCTAGTACATCGACTACTACTGAAGAAGCGATCACCTCATCAACAACCACAACTACTCTGTCCTCCGCGACAACTTCGACTACCGAGGGTACTACGACTTCTACTACGACGGAGAGTTTCGAGGAAGTTTGGGTCGACGAATTATCTTCTTCTAGTACTACGACCTCTAGTACATGGACCACTACCGAAGAGGCGACCACGTCCTCAACAACCACAACTACTCTGTCCTTCTCTACAACTCCGACTACCGAGGCTACTGCGACTTTTACTACGACGGAGAGTTTCGAGGAAGTTTGGGTCGATGAATTGTCACCTCCCAGTACTACGACATCTAGTACATGGACCACTACCGAAGAGGCGACCACGTCCTCGACAAGCACAACTACCCTTTCCTCCTCTACAACTCCGACTACCGAGGTTACCACGACGGGAATTCTCGAGGAAGTTTGGGTCGATGAACTGTCACCTTCCAGCACTACGACATCTAGTACATGGAGCACTACCGAAGAGGCGACCACGTCCTCAACAACCACAACTACTCTGTCCTTCTCTACAACTCCGACTACCGAGGTTACGGCGAGTTCTACTGCGACGAAGAGTCGCGAGGAAGTTTGGTTCGATGAATCGCCTACTTCCAGTACTACGACTTCTAGTACGTGGACCACTACTGATGAGGCGACCACGTCCTCACCAACCACCACGACTCTGCCCTCTTCTACAATGTCGACTACCGAGGTTACGGCGAGTTCTCCTGCGACGAAGAGTCCCAAGGAAGCTTGGTTCGATGAGTCGCCTACTTCCAGTACTACGACTTCTAGTACGTGGACCACTACTGAAGAGGCGACCACGTCCTCATCAGCCACAACTACTCTTTCTACGACGACGGAGAGTCTCGAGGAAACTAGGGTCGATGAACTGTCTCCTTCTAGTACAACGGCATCTACTGCATCGACCACTACTGGAAACGCAACCATGTCGTCAACGACTATAGCTACTCTGTCCTCCTCCACAACCTTGCCTACCGAGGCTATTGCGACTGCTACTACGACGAAGAGTCCCAAGGAAGCTTGGTTGGAAGAGTCGTCTTCTTCCAGTACTACGACTTCTAGTACGTGGACCACTACTGAAGGGGCGACCACGTCCTCATCGACCACAACTACTCTTTCATCCTCTACAACTCCGACTACCGAAGTTACTGCGACTTCTACTACGACGGAGAGTCTCCAGCAAGATTGGGTCGATGAATTGTCTTCTTCTAGTACCACACCCTCTATTACGTCGGCCACTACTGAAGAAGCGACCACGTCCTCAATAACGACAACTAGTCTGTTCTCTACAACTCCGACTACTAAGGTTACTGAGATCCCTACTACGACGGAGAACCTCGAGGCAGTTTGGTTGGAAGAGTCGTCTTCTTCTAGTACTACGACTTCTAGTACGTGGACCACTACCGATGAGGCGACCACGTCCTCAACAACCACAACTACTCTGTCCTCTATAACTCCGACTACCGAGGTTACTGCGACGCCTACGACTGCAAAGGGTCTCGAGGGAACTACGGTCGATGAACTGTCTCCTAGTACTACGGCACCTACTACGCCGACCACTACTGGAGAAGTGATCCCGTCCTCAACAACCACAACTACTTTGTCCTTCTCTACAACGCCGACTACCGAGGGTACTGCGACTTCTACTACGACGGAGAGTTTCGAGGAAGTTTGGGTCGATGAATTGTCTTCTTCTAGTACTACGACCTCTAGTACATGGACCACTACCGAAGAGGCGACCACGTCCTCAACAACCACAACTACTCTGTCTTCTACAACTCCGACTACCGAAGTTGCTGCGACTTCTACTGTGACTTCCTCGAAGACAGAGGGTCTCGAGAAAACTAGGGTCGATGAACTGTCTTCTGCTGGTACTACGACATCTACTACATCGACCACTACTGAAGAAGCGATCACGTCGTCAACAACCACAACTACTTTGTCCTCCACGACAGCTTCGACTACCGAGGCTACTGCGACTCCTACTACGACGGAAATTGTCGAGGAAGTTTGGGTCGAGGAATTGTCTCCTTCCACTACCACGACATCTACTACGTCGACCACTACTGAAGGAGCGATCACGTCCTCAACCACCACAACTAGTCTGTCCTCTACAACTCCGACTACCGAAGTTACTACGACTTCTACTACGACGGAGAGTCTCAAGGAAGATTGGGTCGATGAATTGTCTTCTTCCAGTACTACGCCCTCTACTACGTCGGCCACTACTGAAGAAGCGACCACGTCCTCAATAACCACAAGTACTTTGTCCTCCTCGACTACTGAGCCTACTGCAACCATAACGACAACTGATAGTTTCGTAGGAGTATGGACTGATGTACTGTCTTCTACCAGTACAACAGCATCCAATACATCGACCATCACCACGGGAGGCTCGATTGACGATTATACAGAAAGCATCGAAGAAATCTCGTCCGAGTTGTCATCATCCATTACAGTCACCACTACTGCTCCCTCGGGCACAACTGAAAGAATGACTACATCGTCTGCTTATGAATCGGCCGGGTGGACATCAACAACAAATTCCCCTGCAGCCTCGGTGATACATCCAACTACCGACTATGTCACTACCACCTCTACGACGAGGAACTTCGATGAGATTTGGGACGACACGTCTTCGACTTCTTGGACCAACACCGACGAAATAGAGGTCTCAACACCGACAACGACGACAATAACCACCATCGGCCTGGATGAGTCGTCTCTAGTGGTAGACTCCACTCCGGCCGAAATGACGGTCTCAGAGATGGCATCAATAGACGACTACACAGAGAGCGTCGAGGAAACGTCGTCTCATGTCTCGTCATCTACTACTGTTACTGCTCCGTGGAGCACAACTGGGGCTGCGGCATCATCTTCGGCCACTGACGTTGATGAATTGTTGTCAACAGTAGAAGTCATCCCATTTTCAGAGGTACTTCCAACATCCGAGTATACTTCTACTCTCACAGCAATGGAGAGCCTCGGGGAGATCTGGACTCATGCGCTTTCCAGTAGTACAACTACTTGGAGGACCACCACCGACGAGCCGGATATGTCCACAACAACCACTACAACCACCACCACCGCCACAACAACAACAACAACTACTACTACTACTACTACTACTACTACTACTACTACTACTACTACTACTACCACAACCAACACAACTACGCCAACCACTTCAACTGGACTGGATGAGTGGCCTCCATTGGCAGAATTCACTTCGGCTCCACTAACGCCTTCTACAGACGTGTATACAGAAAGCGTCGAGGGAACGTCGTCCGATGGGTCGACCCCCACTAGCCTCACGGCTGCTGCTCTGTCTGACACAACTGATGCAACGGCGGCTTCGTCACCGACGATAGCTCCCAAATCTACTCTAACGGCTACTTTGACCACTCCTGGTCTCAACTATCCATCAACTTCCACCATGAACTCAACCGAGTTTGTTCCAACTCAAGCGGCATCTTCTGACGGAGAGCTGGTTAACACGACGGCAAAGAATGGAGTCGATGACGCGACCTATAAGTCACCTCCATCTTCAGGTAAACCGCCACTAGGTAAGGACAGCAAGATCGTAGCATGCTCATATCAGGACCGGAATCGCCAGCGATCGTAACAAACGCTTCGTCTAAGATCCCATCCAAACACAAAGTTATTGTTATGATGATTGTTGTATGATGGTAAAATTGTTTTTATGGTCATTACCTGTTTAAATATTATGTGAGTCCCATTGTGAGGATGCTACTGGACGCTAGAGTGCGTCGATTGTCTTCGCAGTCATCAATTCTTGTCTCGAACAATTTGTTCTATTCTTTGTGGATTGCTGCCGCGCTTTCTTTGCACTACACTTGGGGGATGTGGCAATCGCTGCCCTTGCGCATAGCTTTAAGAGCTCGGCATATGCGGGGAACGAAGACGAGCGAGGAAATCGATAAACACTATCATGCGCATACGCACCGATAGATTAATCAGAGCTCTCTTAATTAGGGGACTGCCTTGAGCTAGTATAGGAACTGCCAACATTCAGATCTACAGGACTTCCAATTCAGCGTCTTGACACTTCCAAGTTGGGAGTCGCTGAATTCAATCCACTATTCCAATCGGATCATATTATAGTCGAGTATTGATAAGGTCACTAGGCAACACGACAACGATACTGGATCAGAAGAGTTCATTCTATCTCCAACAATGTTCAACCAGGAGAAAACGCAGTATCGAGTTGTCGCGCTGATTCCTTCACCGGTATCGATCAAATAGGAAGGTGGTTGACCAGCAACGCCCGTTACCGAAGAATCGGGACCCTCCGTTCGAAGTGCCCTTGCTCGAACCCCAAAAATTGGCGTGATCCACAGAGTACTCTCCGTTTCAGCCCCGGATCTCGTCAGAGACTTCGCAGTGGATCGCTCGCAGAGTATGTCTCGACTTTTCATGATTCAGCGCTAAGCTTGAGAGAAGTTGTGAGGATTGTAAGTCGCCACGAGCTATTGGACAATCTTAGCACGAGTTCCCTTTGGGGATGGCTGCGCATCAGATCCGGCTCCCCGAGTTCGTGCTATTTGCCCAACCTACGCCCAAAAAGTCGTGCATTCTCTGGATAATGCTACAGCATTGCTGTAACAGCGACACTGTCGCCTCATTTTCCTGATGACCTCGTTGCTGTCGATGATGACACAGATCAATTCCATGTTGGTAAGGTCGACGCCGACATGAGTGATATGAACGCTGTGTCTGGCATTTAGACATACGAGAAAAGTCATTTGTCACTAAACACACATGTAGAGAGCTGGCAAGACCAATTCTCTACATGTGGGCCGAGTAGCAAGGGTAGGGTACAGAAATTCCTCCTATGTGCAAGTTTGGGCTGTCCCCCCATCAGCTACTAGGGAAGGTGTAGTGATTGCAATGCATGTATTGAATCAATACTATTGATCATGACGAAAAGGGATCCCAGACGAGTTCTCCACCATTGTGTACGAGCGAAAAAAATCCTGCGCTCATCGAGGGCGCACCGACAGGGAACCATCGCGCACGCCTTGCAACTATTGAGATCATAGCGAAATAGACAGACACACAACAACACTCTTCCACGATGAGATGATGCTGGCTAATGTCAAGAAGGCTTTACCAAGTTTATGCAAGTTTTTCAAGTTGAGTCAATTGTCGACAAGTCCAGTCTTTTCTAGTACGTCAGACTACTGCAGGATGAGGAAGGACTGGGCTCGATCTCGCACTTGATAGTTCACTAGCGATTGTTACAAAGTGCCTGAATGTGAGATAGTGCGATCTGATTGGAATTATCGATGCTGTGAGAGGAGGTCAATAACGTATGAGTCGGTATTTAGTTTTCTTCGTATCGATCGATAGATATGTCTTCCAGTCTCCGCGGTTCTGAACAGCCCCCGAAGCAATGGAGGAAGATTGTCATTCTTTTTGGACCTCCTGGTGCCGGCAAGGGCACTCAAGGCCCCAAGATGGAGGAAAGTAATACATAGATTCTTGTTGTTGGGTCAGTGCTCATGTCACTCGTTGAACTCCGGTTGTGATGTTCAGCTTACAAGATTCCCCAGCTTTCTACCGGTGACATGCTCCGAGCTGCCGTTGCGGCTGAGACTCCTATCGGACTTAAGGCCAAGGATGTGATGGCACGTGGCGAGCTCGTCAGTGATGAGATCGTCATTGGAATCATCAAGGACAGGTAATATTTTTGTGAAACATTTACCTGTTTCTCTCCATTAGTTCATGCACATATGTCTTCTTCAGGATCCAGGAGATGGATGCTGGTTGGGGTTTCATCCTTGATGGTTTCCCGCGAACTGTCGAACAAGCTACCGCTCTCGACGCTATGCTCGCCGAGAACGAGGAGCGTGTTTCTAAGGTAGTATCTCCACACAAGTGTTATTTTGGGAGGAAATCTCGTCAAAGAGCTTACTACCGAACTCCCGTCGTGATTCAGGTGATCGTTCTCGATTTGCCCGACTCGGTGCTCGAGGAGAGGATCTGCGGTCGATGGATACACAAGCCTAGTGGACGTTCCTATCATGTCAAGTGCGTGGGTTTATGTGGAATAAAACTCGTTGAATAGTTTCATACGTTGTTGTATTATCATTGTTCAACAGGTTCAACCCTCCGAAGTCTCTCCCTGCTGGTGCCAGCCCTGACGCCACCAACATGCTCGATGACGTGACCGGCGAGCCTCTCATACAGCGTCCTGATGATACCGCTGAGGCACTCAAGACTAGGTAGTTCATCATGCTGTGTTCCTCTGCGTTCACATCTGTGAAAGACGTCGGTAACCCAGTTATTTGTCAGATTATCTGCTTATCATTCTCAAACTGAACCGATCGTAGCGCACTACGCCCCGACTAACGTAGTCAAGCATGTGAACGCCAACCAAGGCATGGAGAAGGTACTTCAGATACTTTCTGTTAATACGATTGTCTTATTCTATCCAATCCTAGGTTTGGGAGGAAATCCAGACGGCTATGAAAGCTTAAACATTTATGCTTTTGTTGCTTCTAGCTTTCCGTCATTGGCTGGAGTACTGCGTTCATCATTATCAATAGTACGGGGGCAGACATAGATCCGTGAGATCAATATAGGCAATTCCAAAAATTCTACTCGGTTCAAACCCAGATCTCCACACTCAACCCGGGGAGTGCCTTGATTCAGTGCTTATCATCAGGGACTGGAAATCCTAGTCTGTCAGACAGACTCTGTCTCAACCGAGCAATCATATCTCATATTGAATATTCTATCAACGAAGTTGCAAGTGATGCGGGTCGAACGCCTGAAGCTGGAAGACAACTTCGAATGTGCACGGATGTGTAGAACAAACTGCGACCAAAATTCTTCTCTTCTAAACAGCTTGGTGTACTAGAGGGTGTGTTGAGCTCTGTACCTAGGGGTCCAAGATTGAAACTTGGAACTGCTAGACACACCGGTATTTTGAGGCAATCAGGGCCGGTATGCGGATCCTGATCCATGGATCAAGCACATCAGCCAGATCACTCGTTGATCTTGACGTCTGAGCCAAATCTTTCGTGATCCGAGATGCGTGAGTCAGATCTGTGATTCTTGATCTCGATCCGTGATCTTTGATCCTGATCCTTGACCGTTGATCTCGATCCCTGAACTTCGATACTGATCCGTGATCTGTGATCTGGATCTCGCGTGAACCTCATTTTTGATCCTGGTCTATGATTCTTGAGAAAACACTTGATCCGTGATCCAAAGATCAAGGGGTTGAGAAATTCTTAGACGAGTTGAGAAATTTCGTTGATCCGTGATCCATTCGGTCCCGAGAGATCACCCTCTGATCCGGATCAAATATTGGATCAGGCTTCTGATCCATCAAAAGGATCAGTTTACGGATCAGTGGTACTTTACGTGTTAAAATGCCGTGATCCTGTAACGGGGCTTTTTTGCTACGTTACACTACTCGTGATCCGTGATCCTGGGCAGGTTGAACACTTACAGTGAAAAAATGTAAACGTACCTGAAATACCAAGTGAGGCCGAATGAATTATTAATCTACATGTAAGCAACTTGGCGCAGTGGATAGCGTGTTGGGCTCATAACCCAAAGGTCCCTTGATCGAAACAAGGAGCTGCTACTTTTCGAAATTCTCAATTAACGAGTTAGCCATCTAAGACTCAATACAACCTCGCTTCTCACAACCTACCTATCAATCTCAATACATGAAAACTAAGCAGAATATCATCAGATTACATCAATAGCTTATCACAGCGATACTTGAAATATACCAAAAATGCCAAGTGAAGCCGAATGAAATGAGAATGAATATGTAAGCAGCTTGGCGCAGTGGATAGCGTGTTGGGCTCATAACCCAAAGGTCCCTTGATCGAAACAAGGAGCTGCTACTTTTCGAAATTCTCACTTAAAGACTTACCTATCTGAGACTTGATCCAACCTCGCTTCTCACAACGTATCTCTCAATTCCAAAACATCAAACTTATGCAGAAGCTAGTCAATTTACATCAAGAATTTGTCACAGCGATACAGGTTGAACACTTACAGTGGAAAAAAATGTAAAAGTACCTAAAATATCAAATGGAGCCGAATGAAATGATACTTAACATGAGAGCAGCTTGGCGCAGTGGATAGCGTGTTGGGCTCATAACCCAAAGGTCCCTTGATCGAAACAAGGAGCTGCTACTTTTCGAAATTCTCACTTAAAGAGTTACCCATCTGAGACTTGATCCAACCTCGCTTCTCACAACGTATCTCTCAATTCCAAAACATCAAACTTATGCAGAATCTCATCAGTTTACATCAAGAGTTTGTCACAGCGATACAGGTTGAACACTTACAGTGGAAAAAAAATGTAAACGTACCTAAAATATCAAATGGAGCCGAATGAAATGATACTTAATATGAGAGCAGCTTGGCGCAGTGGATAGCATGTTGGGCTCATAACCGAAAGGTCCCTTAATCGAAACAAGGAACTGCTATCTTTAGAATCTTACTTCTACACTCACGGATCTGATGTGCGACGCAACTAACTACTTAACTCACGATTCTAATGCATAAAGAAGCATGCTAAGCTTCATCAGATCATATCAGTGTCACAGTGCTAAAGGTTGAGCGTTTGCAGTTCAAAGGAAACAACGAAAGTGCACATAACCAAGAATGTTAACATGCCACCGATCATCAGCCATATGCACAAAACAGAATGGTCCTTGATAAGAACTCCGGCTCTGTTTCTCGAGAGGAAAACTGGATAATATTCCAACACCGACGCGTGGATAATATGCGGCAACACAGGTGAACTCGGGCACGCCATAGGGGACATTGCAAGCCTCATGTATCCTCAGGATACAGGATACAGGATACCATCCTGTCTGGTGGACCTCTCAGAGTCTCTACATCATCGATCAGAACTGCTAGGACTAGACCGATGAGCACATGAAATTCTGGGGATAATATCACACGCCACTTCCTCCCACGATTAACTAGAAAGTTGGCATGATAACGGAAACAAGCAGAACGTGAGCATGATGTGGAGAGAGCACAAGTCTTCACATTTGATATATCTTCGGCAGCAACCAATAATTCCACATCGCTTTTCGTGCTCCTCCCTCGGCCGTGCTAATCTGCGCCTCGCGACTGCTCTTCCATACACCACCATTACGCAGGGGTCGGCGAATCGCGAGTGGTCGCAAGTTAGCCTTGATGTATCTAAGATGTGGTATGATAATGGATTTTCAAACAGTTCCAATGGGTATTCTCACGGATCTTCCGCCCGAACATATCGCCTTCTACGCATGTATAGCAATGGACGTCTATTCAGTTTAGTTTCCTGTTGGCCACCTGCACATACTCGGTATCTCAAAAGATGCCACTTCCATCCTCACCTCTACTGCCCACAAAGGTGCGCACTGCCTTATGAAGAACATGTTTATTGTCCGTATCATCGGTGCCAACACCATACCTACGATCACTAATAGAACTCCTTTTCTCGACTGATGCGTTATTACTCTTGACAGTAGTCAACAATGAGAGCCAGCTCACGTGCTGTGGGCCGTCTTGACGTCCTGGACGTGGGACGATACACAGCTACGCGAGCCCAGGCGGCCATGGCGCTCATGAACCGCCTGATAGAATAGGAAATGACTCCGCAAAAGCGACACGGTCTCACTTATCGAGGCGTTTGTGTAGACGGAGGAACTGCATAAATCCGACTGGATCGGACATCTCGTCAACGTGTAACTCATTATAAAACTGAGTAGAGGTATAAAACCTCAACGACTAGTAGCTCACAAGCTCACCTTGTTAGTCCTTCTAGTGAGTTCTTCCCATATTGCTCGCTCGTAGGGTTTCCAAGAATACTGTAGTGAGGGCAGATACCTACGTTGCCCGTTTAGTTTTATATAATCCACATTACCCTACTTGAGTGTATCCCATACTTCTTCGACAGGCATCATCTCAGCACACATTTTCATACGATTGTCTAATGCAGTGAAAAAGCCCGAATCGTCATACCCAAGAGCAGCCATAGCTCCGGCCAGTTCGCAACCGTGGAGGTATCTATCGAGAGGAATGATGCTATTAGCAGTGTGGTAAAATTTGTACTCGATTAACCATATGATGATTCTGAGGAAATTTTGTGGATTTTTTTCTGCCTCCAGTACATGTTTAACTGAAGTCGTATATAAACTCCTTGGTGAGGAAATTCTTGAGCTCAGCTGAGGAAAGAGAACACATATTGCAATTCTGGATGCTAATACGCAACTGCTAGTGGTGATACCGAATGTTCTGAAGTTGCGAATGTTGTATCGCTGCTGCTATTCTATCCAACATAGCTGGTGATGATAGACCTATGCGGGCCATGGTAACTAGGAGGGCAGTGAGCTCGTCAGGATACCTGGAATCGGTTCTATCTACATGGGCTGGTCACCGAGACTTACATGGCAGTGACCTGTCTGACTAGCTGATGCATGACGTCTACATAGAGGGCTTTAGGGCGTATGTTGAGCACTTCGAAAAGACAGAGAGTGTCGATCAACGTACGAGGGCTCATTTGCTGAAGACCAGTCTTGGAATATACGTTCGGTTACCTCAGCTGAGCTCGCGAGTTTCCTCACTAATTATAGGAGTTCACATACGGTAGAACTGTTCAAAAACCAAAAAAATACCCCAAAATTTCCGCAAAATTTCCGTATTGCCACCGACAGATGTGCATATTTTTCCAGACTGCTGAAGACATTCCACCCACAAGAACTCGTCCCTATTTTGGTATTACCGAAGTGCCGAGAGCATGCAGATGGTCAGCTACGTTAAGGAATAGCAGATCGAACCTGGTACTGAATTCCGCAGTCTTATTTTCATGCTTATAGCACCTTTGGTCCTGTGGGGAGGTCTTCAACTTAGCAATGCTCTGTGCTATTGCCAGTGCATCCCATAGCCTCAGCTCGCCTCTCTCCATACTCTTCAACCGGTTCACTATCCCTTCGATATTCTCAGCTCGATCGTCCTTTGATTCAGCCAAGTACCTACGTTGTTGAATAAGAACGTGTCTGTCCTTGCTAGACTACTCGGCAAAGCGCCGTAATGATCCTGATTTGGCCTTGGGCAACTGAAAAAATGCAAGTTAATTCGAATGGGAGTAGACAGGATTAGTACGGCGGCTAGCTCGGCCGATAGTCCCGGGCTGAGGGTCGATGAGGCTCCTCCTTTTCTGGGTACATTACGCGATGCCCTCCCTACACGAGCCCCGCGAGATGCCATTGAATAAGAAGTTACAATGGGGCCTCAGTGATGTCGACGACGATGACGCAAGATGGTGATAATTTCGTGGCGCGTGACGCGTTCAGATTTCGGTGTACTTAGCGAGGGGAGCCTAGGATCTCAGTGCAGTTAGTTATCTCGGTGCAGCGAGCAAGTCGGGCTTGTCTGGATGGGTATGGGCATCTCAGGTAAGATACACCCACAGCTAGCGTCGACGATGGATGCTCTCCAGCCAGAGAAGAATGACTCCAGGTTTACCATGGAATGTCGTCAACCGCTATGGTCCACTAGCGTGATACTAGTTGTTGTTCCATGATATCAGCTTACTATGGTAACCGACGGATGGGATGCTCTCAAATGAGAGATCAGCAGACCGCACTCGAGTGAGACAAATTCCCAATAGCTGCTGATAAGGTGCTGGGGGGTTCCAGTTGAACTTGGTCATTGGCTTACTACTACTACTACTTTGGGTCTATCGTCCGACCTCACGCTTCCTTGCATTTTCGGGAGTGTCAGCACTAAGCCGAAATAGAACCTCAAGTGTGACGAACTCGTTTCTAACTCCATTGATAAGCTTTAGATGCTATGACATGATGACTGACGGCCATCAGCTTTCATAAGCACAGTGGTAGTAGCTCCTCTCGGCCGACACGTTGTGGGTGTAGTGGTAATGACAAGGGTCTTCTTTACGATTCAGCTTCTATTGTGGGTTCATATCGATAGATACCGCTGTAAGAGACGACTCAGCAAACAGCATGTTCATTATCGATGCAGTTACTTTGTTATTCCTATATCGTTAATGTCCAGTTCTACTACCACAACTGAGAGCAGCCCCACCATAGCCCCTTCCGCTGGTATTGAGACCTACGACTATCACACCAAACAGCAAGGGGATGTTCTCAGAGACACCCAACTGCGTTATCTAGCCTTTGCTCAGCGTATACTCCGCGTGGTGAGTGCTGGTGAGCACTACTCTCTTCATTATCATTTCCATACAGATAACGCCCTCAGCCAAGCAAGTGAGATACTTGGCGTTCACTTCTGATGTCGGGGAAGCCTTCCGTCCAGTCGTCCCTAAGTGGCTTGTCAATACCTCCTACGCCACAACAATTGGCTACATCTTTGTAAGGGCAAATCATCAATCTCGAGGCTCGTCATGGTGACCTTTAGGGGGATATCGGCTACTCGACTTGGCTGGAGTATAAGCGTACTAAGGATCTCGCCGATCACAAAATTCGAGTTTGGACTGCAGCGGCTAAGGCAACGACCTTCCAGATGGTCGCCAGTTTGGCTCTGCCCTTTGCCATTATGTAATAAGTGTTCCCAGAAATATGATGAATTTCTCTTTAGACATTCTACTGTACACTACTCTGGTGTTATGCTACGTCGTATGGCTGTCAAGAATGCACGCCTTCTCCAGATGGGCCCTACCATGATCGGCTTGGCAATTGTTCCTTGTAAGTACATAACCTTGCGGCGCCGCGTGTCACGAACTTTTCAGTCCTCCCCATTGTGTGTGATAAGCCCATCGAACATGGTGTTGATCTCATTTTCGAGAAGTGGGGTCCTAAGATCGCTAGTGAGGAGGCTGCGAAGACCAAGGAAAAGGAGGAGTAGTTCGTGTGACTGTGGTGTCGTCGTTCATCGTTACTTTTCCAATGTTAAGAATAATACACCGAAAACCCTTTTTTGCGCGATCAGTGTTGTCTGTTGAGTTGATCTAGGTCAATTTATTCCCTTGATTATTGCTGATGAGTTGGAACCCTCTCCCCGGTGGAACACTGTCCCAAGCCTCAGCGATGCCAGGAGGGACGCCTTCCTCGACTGCTGCTGCTGAAGTGGCTGTTCTACGTGGTAAGATCCATAGCATGGAGCAAGAGATGCAGTCCTTGAGGACCCAGAGGGACAGCGTGAGGACAATACAGGTAGTATTTGGTTGTTGCCAATATAGGTGTGATTATCATATGTTAGTGCAGGTTGAGAACGAGCGTTTGAAAAATCAGATTGCTAGCCTTATAGAGACTGCCTCTAAGGAGAGAGCTCAAGCCCTGGAGCTTCAAAGGGCAGCTCTTGCAACTGGTGATGAGCTCAGAATCGATGCTTTGTGGTGGAGTTGGCCTCCTAGCAGGGCCAGCGGTCCCTCCGGCGTCCTTCGCCACATCGAGCCAGCCGTCCATACCTGCTGGTCGTTCGCCTCGGGCGCAGTACTCTCAAGTGCCGTTGAGTCGGCCTTACTCCGTCGACAATAGCCGACCGATGGGAGGCACTCAGTATTTGGAGAGACCGACACAAGGCAGTGTAGGACGGGAATACGCGATGATTACTATCTCGGGTGCTTTAGCATACACCTCCAATACCCTCATCGTCATCATCATCACAGTTGACACGACAACCCACTCGTGCTGTCCCTTCCCGAGGCACCAGTGTCAAGGCTTCCAGGACGATCTCGGAAGCATCATCACGACAACCACTATCATCACCACCTGTGAGCGAACGGAGGGTAAGTGGTGGTCGTGGTGACGGTGTTGTTGGTATTGTCAACTTGGTCAGTTGAGATTTATAGAGCGGGCCGCTGTTGCATTGGAGGAATGCAAGAAGAAGAATTTCCGGGAGGGCATTCCCTCTGTTAACAAAACTGACCATTTACACTTTCTCATGCACAGCCTACAGAGAGGAGAGTCTCCTATTGGCATTGACGCGGACTGCCGGGCTGAAATTCTGAGTCTTGGGAAGAACTCTCGGCAGTTCCTCGAGATTCTCGCTTTACTCGTACCGGTCGATTCGGAGCTCCTGGACGCCCTCCCGATAACTGCATTGACGGGCACTCTGCGGTACGACTCGGAGACTGTGGAGAGGCTGGCAGCGAGACTGATAGCAGACGGCGATGGGAGGAGTTTTTTTGAACCCTTGCGCTCTGGAAACGAGGCTGGAAGAGTTGAATTACTGCGACTGTTGTGTAGAGTGTTGAGGGGCACTCGAGGCAGTTGTTCCGAATCGGTGGTAGAATCATTGAAAAGGGAGACCGACTCTCAACATAGTTTGCTGACACTGAGTAGGCTGGGTGGGACTCATGTAGGGCCACATATATATCCCCACAGCTTCCGAGTTCATCGATCCCGCTGAAGTTAGTATTCCCTCGAATACGTGTCTTCATGTGTTGTATTTCCTTGCTGCGATGGCTGCTGAGGACAGCATAGAGTATGTCATGTCAGCCAGGGTATAGTGGAGGGGATCGGTGACTTCACTTCGACAAAGGAGTGTTTCAGCCCAACTCGCCAGGAGGTGGAACGCGGCCGAATATTGCCTGCCGCGTGGGGCTCCTTGCTTTTCAGCTGGCGTTACAGGAGATGGAATTCAGGTCGATTCAGTGTTATATGGATAGCAAGAGTTTCTGTGCTTTCAGGACACTGTCGCGGCTCCCCGGCTCTGGGATCTACCACCAATACGAGACTGGTACTCCTCTTCGTATTGACATATTTAAAGCTGCAGTCCATTTAGTAGTTCTCGAGTCGTCGTTGGTGAGCCTCTAGTAGACGCATTTCAGTTGTCATCCCTGGCTGCTGTGTGCTTGCAAAAACGCGCGTCTCACACGAAAGGGGAAATTCCGGCTGAATGCGAAGCTGATTGTCAAGGTATGTCTTCAGTTGAGATAACTGCTCACTTACATATGAGGTTATTGTCTCGGCAGCCGAGGTCCTCGTTCGGTTCTGATTGAAATCCCTACAGGCACGTCAGGGACGCGCTGTAACTGCTTAGCGTCGTATTTCGGAAAGCATCGGTGGGTGATCATCTCCTTGCTTTCTACTCTGAGGCTCATCGCAAAAGATCCGCTAGGACACACGGAACCTATTCAAGACTTCACTACTACTCTTCGGTAAGGCCAAACAATCCATTTGCATTCGGCTTGCAAGTTTGGAGTGTCAGACCCAGAGTACTCGGCTGTTCAATCTTTTGCTCGTTTTAGTATAGGGTCATTGCGTTTTCCTTCAGCGTCAGCCACGGACTATGCCTATATGAACTGTTTATACACGGTTCTATGGTGTGAAGGCAATCTGGTGGTCTGCGTTCTCATCTTAGTAGAGCCTTATAACGCATCCTATATCGATAGGTGTTATGCATAGTGCGTCATCAGTCGCTGCCGCGGGAGTATGACCATGAGCATAACTCGTCGTACTATCAAGGTACGGCTTGCTGAAGAACTTGAAGTTCATCAAAGAATGGCTCAGAAGCAATGGGGAATACGAATTGGATACAAACCTCACCTTGGGCTATCTGATGGGAAGCAAGTTCGATAAAAGCAGACATAATGTTTCTCCATGCTCTATATGATACTTGCGCTATAGTATTCGGGCTCCGGAAAAGAAAAGACTATATTCGTTGCGTTCAATGACTCTTCTATTGCTGATCTATACTGCTGCTAATTAGCCGTCTACTCGCATATTTCAACGGTTCTATGGTGTTACGGTTAGCACTCCAGACTCTGAATCTGGCGATCCGGGTTCAAATCCCGGTAGAACCTTGTTTGGCGAACATTAGCAATGTTTTCTCCAAACAGCGGATCTTCTCTATATCCATATAATTGATGATGCTCTACGCGTTTAACCTAGTTCCCATGTTGCTACATCAACTAGCGGTTACTTGTTTCGGTCAAAGGACTTGTGGGTAATGAGCCTAGCACGCTATCCACTGCGCCAAACTGCTGATGCAAGAATATTTGATGTTACCGGCTCGACTTGGAAGATCTGGTAGTCACACGTTTTTATTCCACGCGAGCATTATGAGTTTAACGTACAGTGCATGTCGGTAACAGGAGTAGGTCGATCAGTGATTGACATGGTTTTCCGCGCACGCACGCATGGAGACCCTTGACTAGGCTTGAATAAACAGGGTATATCACAACCATCAAACAGACGCAGCTTCCGAACCGCATCCCTGATGTTAGACCCGTCCTGATTTGCATGTACGAACGGTGCATCTCGAAACTGTATTAACTTTGTCAAGCAACTCATCATAAAGTAACACTTTGAAAAACGTGTGCCAATCCATCATTGAACATCTTTACGATCATCTCGAACTCTCTCCGGTACTGGTTCTCGAATAGCTTCCGGCTTGCTTGTGTATTTCCACGTCTCCCGAGCAGTAGCAAAGTCAAGTTCGTACTTGAGAGTTTCCTTCACCCGATGACCGATGTAGAGTAGAGTCGGTACACCTGAGCGGCGAGCATAGCAAGTTGCCTTCCTTCCCAATGCGCACCAATCAAGTAAGCCACCGGCCAGAAGACCCCCCACGTTCTGTACCAGGGTATTCGACTGCCAGTATAAACCATCAGATGGAACTGATATTAAACGGGGTGACTCAGAGGAACACCACAGCCATTAGTATGGTGAGATAGATTAGCTATATCGCGTCACGCAGTTGATGATTCACTTCACAGAATTGTTGTGAATAATCGATACCTCTCGAGAGATCAATCGTTTGTACAACAGAAATGCTCAATGCGGCAGTAGTGAATCCAAGTTATATCCAAAGGAGTCCATAGTATATGAAATAATCGCACTATGTCATGTCAAACATCGTCATCATCATTATGTTTTAGAAGAGCGGCAACCTCCTTATCAGAATAGATTTTCCGTCGATGCCTTAACGCCGGCTCTCCGTCGAAGCTCCTACTGCTGCTACTCCTACGATCCATCATTTCCACACAGTTACCTGTACCCTTTGCTATCGAGGACAACTCCGAACTGTTCTTACTGTCTGTCCCATAACCAGTAGTTGCCAAGAATTTCGCCAATTTCGCTCGCCCGATGATTTGGGTAAGTTTTGGTACCAAACTCATCCGCTCTTGATGCTTCAAATTTCTCTTATCCAATCTATCCTGTAGATCCAACTTGGTGTGCTCTAATGATATCTTCTTTTCCTACCCAGTATAATGATGAACCACCACTACTCAGTAAGATCAACCTCACCTTGTACACTTTGGTATTCCGTGACATCCCTGTTGATAAAAGTTTTTTCAGATTTTCCCTTTTTTCTATCAGTCGTGGTACGAGTACCTCCAGCTGTTTGTTCTGGAAGGCCTCCCCATTGACAGCGTTATAGTAGGCCACCCTAGGTGACACCATTTTCCACAGTGGTGACACCAGGATTTTTACTACCGTAATTCTTCCATATATTCCTCGATCCCTGACCGGCCTCGATCAAGCACCTCCTTCGTTGCTATACCCCGTAACGCCTCAGGAAGATACCCCATCACATCGTCGTAATCATGTTCAAAAAAGTCAAGGATCTGGAGGTCCCAGGTTCGATTCCCAGTAGAGGCATTACGTCATCACCTGATCACGAGCTGCCAGCTCCCTATATGGATCTGCTCCTTCCTCGCTCTCCACCTCAGCATAGTCCTTCTTCGTGTCACCATAACGATACAGTCTGTCCACGAATCCTGTCAAGACTGATGTCAGCGGCATAGTGAAGCCAACCAACAATAATAACACTAATGACAACACTGATCGATGAGGCAATCGGACGTTAAGCCTTCCCCTCGATAGGTCTGTAGGAAACTACAACTCGATCACACCTCCTAATCTTTTATTGGTAAATGCACAACATTCCTATCCAGAAACGATGAGAAGATGTACAACATGGATCATAGCAGCAGCGCGATATTCCGATAATCATTTTGGTCACCATCACTTCCGTTCACACTCGGAGGCACACGAGTTACCCTCAGAGCTAGTGCGACGATGCGACTATGTGGATATCAAAACTTGACGAGATCTCAAGCTTACCCTTAACGAAGGTATCTACGTGATTGAAATAGCGTGATGAGAAGCCCCAGACGATACGTTTCAGTTGCTGTGGGGTTGAATTTACAACCGCAAATGTGTTTAGTGGAATTGTGGAGTCCTACTGCACTAACCCCAGGAATGTTATTTAGTGAGGGAAACGTTTGAGATCGAGCAGGCCGAGCGGGTCAAGGTCTAAACGCTCTCTGGCGGCTATCTCTGAGTTGCCCGAGGAATGGTATGAAATTCATATACGCGAAAATACATTTCTATACCCTTTTCCTGACGGAAGACATCATATATACCCACTGAGCTAAGTGAATGGTATATGGACTATATCCACGATAGAGATAACTAAGTAGTACCTCTCTCAACGAGGGGAATGGATACTAGTAAAATTCGCATGGACCTGCACTCAATCCTATAGGGAGGTCGCGACGCATCAATTAACAAGCGTGAACATTGCTTCTGTTCTACGAGGCCTGGCTGGGAGTAGGAGAGTCTCCAGTGCTGCAAAAAATGTTCGCTTTCCTCAGCTGAGCTCCAAGTTTTCCTCACTAATCATAGGATTTTATATACAAATTGGGAGAATACATACGATCAGTGTACAAACACTCACAAGGATTTTCCAAATTTTCCTCAGAGTTTTCATATTGTCACCAACAAATGTGGTTGACCGTGCGCAAATTTTACCACACTGATGGAGACTTACTCTGTGGCCTTCCAGTCAGTAACGAGAACTGCTGCTTTATCAAGTGAAGTAATAGGGAGTTCTGGAGAGGATCAATTTAGGTTCATATGAGTCCTGGAAACTAATGAATTTCCCCCCCTAGGGAATCACCTCGATGACCACCCCACGTTTTGGAGTTCATCGCAATCGTCTCTCACCACGTTGCAGCACCCATTTCTAGGCTTTCTCCTAGTTACCTCAGTTGTCGATCATAAAAGACTATTCCTCGGTAGTGTAGAAAAATATGCACATGGTCAACTACATGTGTTGGTGATGAGAATATGAAAATTCCGAGAGAATTTTGGGATTAAGCGTTAACTTCGATAATTAGTTTTGGAAACTCCTGAGCTCAGCTGAGGAAAGCAAACATATATTCCATCATCGTTTTCCAATGTAGGGCTGACCTGACTATCACTATTATTACCTCCACCAAGCGACAACGCTCTCATCATCAGCTCACACCGAGCCGCCTACGTATATCGAAGCTGTGGGTAGACGTCACGTATCATTGGATAAGACCTTCCATGGGTCTTACTTTACACACGTTGACACCAGGGTTCAAGTGGCCACGTCGAGGGAAGTCAGTCTACCGAGGCGATGGTTGGATTGTCGCTCCTGAGCCCTCGTCGAAAGACGCTTGGTTGAAACTGATAGAAAAAGAGGAAGGGTAAATAAGGGCGTCCTTTGAGCGTAAGATCGCAAGTCGATCAGCCTTCGGCGTGCGCTTATTTTAGTGATGTAAGGCACTAATTTTAGTGACAGGCTCTGTTTGCCCCACGCAACAGTGCGCAGGTGATCAGCGTAATTTTTCTGAATGTTACGTCGAGCTCTGGTCGGAGGTCTGAAGTGTTACCATCCCCCCACTAGGCTTTCAACTCCTCTGTATTCGGAGGGAGGTGCATTTACGGTTAATTGGTGAGCTTGAGCGATAATCATCAAATCTACTACTGCAATTCTGTGCAGGTGGCGTAATCGTTATGGTCTGTACTCCCGTAGACAGACCGACCCGATGTTGGCCGAATTCCTATTCCGTCAGCAAGTGAAGGAGTGGTTCTATGATGTGCCTTCATACAACTACGCCGCTCTGGTTGGTTTTGCTCTTGGCATTCTAGTAGCGGTCATTTGGAGGCATTTCCTCTTCAACCCCGACGTGTACTGCCAACTCCTGAAGGCCCTCCACTACTACTCGCCTTTTTTGTAGTTATGTTCGTCGTCAAGAACTGCGTAAAATGTGGCCCGACCGACACAGACAATTCGCTTATGCTGTGCCTTACCTCAACCCCCAGCTGAAGAACCTCCTTCTACCGTAAGTTCACACCACATGGAGAATTCAACGACCGTTTTATCAGGTATAAGAACAGTTTCATCGACAATGAGCCCGACTACGCCGATTACAACCCTGTAGGTCTCCGCCCTCAGCGTGTCATGGCCATTAGGCGCATACCAGGATTCTTCTGGGCGATACCCCAGTAAGTGTTCATTACGATCCGACTTGGGTCCTATCTTGTGTGAAAAGGTACTTCTTCGAGGACCCCCTCTATACTAGTTGCTCTACTAAAAATATGCAGACGATATATAAGAAGTTGGGCTACTCTGAGCTATAATGTTGTATCATGGTTTTTTTTTCATAGTGAGGCTTAAGGCTTTCACTCGTGCACATCAGCCCCCCTCCCAGGGGTCTGTTATTGATCACTTCCTTATTCTCTCTCTGGGAAGCATGGATTTGATATTATCGGGTTTGTGGGTAAGCATTGTTTTTCACGTGTTGAGTTTAGATGTGCATAGTAAATAGCTGAACTCAATGGATGAAGTATTCTCTCACACCGACGGTTGTTTGCTATCGATTATATCTGTACATTGACACCTCACGTTAGGCTCCCATAGAGACATAGATCTGCTTGAAGGCTTTCTTTGTAATTATTCCTTCGGATGAGGTTGAGGCTAACGAAGGGCTCATCTCCCGTAATTTCGTGGCGCGTGAGAATGTTGATCTGAGGTACCGATTTGTCGAAGCTCTTTGCATATTAGGCGGGTTATAACTATTATAGGAATAAATCGTGAATCGTCAAACACCATTTTTGAGTTAGTCTGATATTCCCATGGGAAATTGCAGGGGGGGGGGGTTGCCTTAGTTCTCCATCACTCGTTAATAGTGATTGGGATCCGTCTCCCTCCTGTGACTGATGACTCGACTAGTAAGCAGACATTAAGTAGGAAAAGACGATTTAACCAACTCAATGAACGGATTGTACGCAGCGCAACTGTGCACGCATACACATAAAGCGTGCGATGCGCGCACAAAATAAAGTTATCGGACGAATGACATGAAATAAGAATACTGATCATGTACGTGGAGTTCTTGATTTTCCAATAGTTACCTTTGTGGTTGTTAGAGGTGATATCTCCCAATGCTTCGTCGAGCCCTGTCGGGTGGCCTCAAATGTTACGGTCCTCCGATCAAACTCCGTACCCCTATGTATTCTGAGGATGGGGTCCACACGACTCAATGGTTGGTCTACTCAAACTGGAGTGGTATTAGCAACTTGTCGTATTCAGGTGGCGTAATCGTTATGGTATATATTCCCGTAGACAGACCGACCCGATGTTGGCCGAATTCCTCTTTCGTCAGCAAGTAAAGGAGTGGTTCTATGATGTACCTTTATACAACTATGCGGCACTTCTTGGGATGGCTCTTGGCATCCTAGTAGCTCTGGCGTGGAGACATTTCCTCTTCAATCCAGATGTGTAAGTTCTGTTGTCTCTTATAATGTATAACGGGAGCACTTTCCTCATGATCATACCACGCCATTTCCCGATCTATTTCAAGAATTGCCACTCCGATGTCTGGTGGTTGACACCTCTCCGAGTGGTGTAGATCAATAGACGATATCCTTGTTATGCTACGACCCTAAGGCTTCGAGGAAGGATCTACTCCTACATCCGTTACAGTGTTCTGCATTACTCATCGTTGCGGTGCAGATACCTCCGTCGCCAGGAGCTGCGCAAGATGTGGCCTGATAGGCACAGACAATTCGCATATGCACTCCCATACCTCAATCCGCGACTCAAGAATATTCTTATGCCGTATGTATATTACCATGGTGGTGACTGTTGGATCACAACATCCCCTGCTGCCAGGTACACCAACAGTCTGATCGACAATGAGCCCGATTACGCCGATTATAACCCTATAGGACTCCGACCTCAGAGGGTTCGAGCCATACGCCGCTTGCCTGGACTCTTCTTCTCCATTCCCAGGTCGCCCTAATCTAGTGTATGGTGTGAGTCTATGCTTTTTGACAGGTACTTCTTTGAGGATCCTTTGTACACTTCGGTGTCAACTCAGAATATGAGGAAAATCTACAACGATATCAACTATTCTGAATTGTAGTATTTGTTCCGGAAAAATGATTCTATTTCTTTTGACCATCTCCGTACAGCAGTCCCCATGTGAGGGTCTGTCAAATGCTTTCCGCACATTCGATGTTCTCAACATTTCACTTGAATTTTATCGACTTGTGTTACCTGACTACTGATATCTAGACAGCGACGATAAGCTCGTTGTTGCCATTGAGATAACACTACACTGGAGAATGCCTTACAAGGCAACAGTCTGATTATCCTCCTCATCATGAACTCAGCTAAGGGACATATTATGGGGGATTGGGAGTGGAGAATAGAGGAGACATGATGACACAATCTACCACAATTGTCTGGCTCCGGATAGCGGTCTCGAACCTATTGGCAACCTATTATGTGTTCTGGCAATGGCAAATTGTGTCATCATGTCTCCTCTACTCTTCACTTTGAGACAGCGCTACAATGAGGCAGCAGCATATCCTAGGTCCCTGTGTAAGTGTTGAGAAGAATGCGTTTTGTTTTGAATGGCTACCTGGCAGCTGTTAAGACGGCATTTGATGAGCACTGCCACGGGAGGTTAGGGCACCGGTTGGGGAGGTTTGTGATGGACGCCTTCTATGCGGTGTGTCAGAGGGGAATAATTCCATCGTGGATTAGGCTCAGATTGGTAAGGACTTAGTCAGCGATTTTATTGTCATAGTCGAGCTGTATAGTTTTACACTTATCAGTGTAATGGAGTTTCACCCTAGTGATATGAAAAACACTAATGAGAAACATATTTCACATTTGACTTTGCGAAAAACGCTTGTAAGCAGTGAATAACGCGTAAAGCACGTGAAACGGGGTGATCTTTCCGGTCCGATTCGCGAAGTGTTTTCACTTCACTTCATATCACGAAAATCGCGTTCTTCCTATGGTGTATTACCCCACTTCACGTAAAACGGGTGAAACTCCAATGTTATACACTACTAGAGTAAACGTTACTCCGAACTCCTGAGGTGAGATTGACTTAGAAATAGGCTACTATTGTGGGGCTAGTCGTGTTGCTTTCCCTGTGTATTTCCTGTCCTTCTCAGTTTGCCTTCTCCCAGAGGTTCCTGGTCCCTCTGTTGCTACACTGCTTGTCAACAATCGCGCCATGTGGCCTCTATACTCGGAATACGAAACAAGGCAATGTGGAGTTCGAACACTTTGCTGAACATCTCGCGGTAGAGCTGGCTCAGTCGCCGAGGAACGAGCTACTTCGAGAGGGTGATGAGCTTCTCCGGAGGCTCATGTTGACTATGGATCCTCAGCTGCAACTCCTTGTGGACAGAGGTAACTGTCGGGCTTGACAGACTTTCACTGCTGTGTGACTGCTTCTGTGTTGCGGCAATTCTCGATACTAAACTTACAGTGTCGTCGTGAATGATCCTTTCCGAAATCATAAATTCGCGAGTGGAGACCGGACGACTACTGCTGTTCAGTGCGTCTGTGTAGTAGTCCCCTTTTTTCGTGTAGTGGCGGATAGTCGACACACGGGATGAGAAACGCGCTTGAATGCTTGTTGTATTAATAGACATGAAACTGGGTGAAAAACGCGATATTTGCGGCGCTATGCAGTAGTCGTGAAATATGTTTCTCACTAGTGTTTTTATATCACGGTCGTGAAACTCCATAGTATTCAGTACCGGTGAAGAAGTCTTTGTCATTCACGTCTATTCTGAGCGTTATGGATGCGATACGGCAAGAGTGGGGTTCTCCAAGTGAGGGGGAGATAACTCTCACGTGGCAGTTGGAGCACGTGAGCAAGCCTATGTCGCCTAAAGATGCTGAGAGGATTCTACGGCGGATTCGCCAGAAACACCCTCACGATGCACGCACTGTGAAGGAGCTGATCTCGAAGCGACAACAGGAGATCGACTTGCGCAAGGTGGGAAATATGGGAAGTCGTTTAGGATTGTACCATACAAAATTCTAACCTTGAATATTTGAGCTTATCATCCATTCCTCTTGATGGAGTGTCGACTGTGCGATTGCCAATTTCAGGGGGAAACTGTTCTTGTTGAGAGAGAAATCGAAAATTCCGTGATTTGCGTTCGAAGATGACACGCTCCTTAGATGCAGCCATTCAATTGATATACAATAATGGAGTTTCACCCGCTTTATGTGAAGTGGCGTAAAACTCGGTGAAAAACGCGATAGTCGTGAAATACGTCTTTCACTGGTGTTTTCCATATCACGTGTGAGACTCCAATATAGTAAGTGAATACACTATGGATAATAGTAATACATGGACAGATCTCGAGCAATGCAGCTCAGCATTCCGAACACTGCTCACTAGTCTAGTCGTCCCTCTAGAGCTGAGGGGATGGCGGATCGAGAAGTCTTGATGATATGCCATCTCAGGAGAAGCTCGACGAGATGGTCGCCTGGCGTAAATCCCAGAGGGGCTATGCTGATCTCCAACGTGCTGAGGATTACTGGTGCATGAGCGGTTTGAGAGGTGTCGAGGAAAAGTGGAGGGAATTGGATGAGCGCATCGGCCGGGATAGGGCTTCTCGAGGCCACAAGATGGAGACTAGCGATGTGAAGGTCCACTTGGCCAGTGAGGAGGTAGGGTCTGCACTCAGCAGTGTGGGAGAATATGCACACTGCCGACTACGTTTGTTGGTGAGAAAATGAAAATTCCGAGCTCAGTTGAAGAAAGTGAACACATATTCTAACACTGTCACTTAGTGTTGCATATGAGGTCAGATTTGCGCGCGTCTGGGTTTACGAGCTGAGGACACTGAAGAGGTCCTCGGGGCAATCTGGAGACAAAATGGCGAGTCAGTGGGAGAGATCGATGTCACGGTAAGCTGTGTGGAAGTTGGACGATAATTGCAAGTGATTTTAGATAGTTGACAAGAGAACATCGAAAGCGGTAGCTCTGGTCGAGATCAAGTCCCATGCCTTCTTCTGTCGGTCTGCGTGGCATCAACACCAACGGTGGCTGAGAGGAGGCTCAACACCTGTCCAGCTGCTCCGGTCCGATGGAAGCGAGGGCAGTTCGGAAGCGTCGGTTTTATGGGACAGCAAACGCGATAGTAACGCATCATCTGGGTTGAGAACTCCTTGTTATATGCAGTTTATTTAGGTCATTCTCCACCACTCTTATTTGTGGTTGTGTGCCTGTCTCCCAATTGTTACCGCCTTGGGGCGGAAAGCTGCGTTCTGGACTGGTTGTGGCGCAATGTCGGCAGCCCGACTATCGAGCAAGAAGGAAGCATGTCTCCTGAGAATTTGAAGTTATGGGCGCACAAGCAGGGCTCTGGGGTGTGGAGCAGGATGAGAGAGCGCGTCATTTCCGAGATGAATTTAGTTCCTGATGACAGGGACCTCTTAGGCGATCACAACGATGATGCTTTAGTCGATCCTGTGAGGTTCATTTTTGCTCTCAACAAGAGTGGTAGATTGATTGTTATGTAACTATTCAGTAGCTACTGCTTCCACTGCGTTACTGTGCATTGGTTTACAACGTTTCTCCAACTTCCACTCGAGAAATGCGCAAGGGAGTGCTCATGGTTCTTTGGTGAAGATAAAGGTTTCATCATCTTCCCTTCTAGCAGTTGCTGATGTAACTCTGAACATGGTGATTAGAACAACAACAACAATACAGACACGTAAACACCATCATGGGAGGAGAACTCATTGCGTTGAAGGGAATTTTGATCATCATATCACAGCTAGAGGATGATATTTCTTTCTGTTCTCTGTGGGTATAATCTACTTCTCACTTTTCTTATTGATATTAATAAACTCTATCAATTTGTTTCTCATCTCCGCCGCCTTATCTTTATAAAAATCAAGAATCCAGCCTTTACCAGAATACCCCGGTGGAGGATCATTTACGATAGCGTTGACGATCTCGTAACAGCCTTCGGTGTGAATACCGTAATTTTGTGACTCAGAGGCGTAGTATTTGAGGATTAGACGAGTCTCTTGTGAGAGATGCTCTAGAGGTAAGAGTCCAGCTTCTGCCAGCTCGTTCCAGTAATAGTCGGTATATATTCCCCGCTCAAGCTTCACGTCCTCGACTTTGCCGTAAAATCTTTGCTTAGACTTGTCGCTGAGGAAAAGAAGTGACAGTTATGGGAACACGATCAGGGGTGTAGTTAAAAAACGAGGAGATTTGCTGATTTGCAAACCTTATGAAACTCACAAGGTGTATTCTTTCCCCGTTGCAAAATCGATGAGTGATGTGCGGGTTATGCTTCCAAAGGGTTTATCGTCCTTGGGATGCACGAGGAACGAGAAGGCCATGGCATCTAGAGGTTCTCGCTGCATGATCGTGCATCCAGACATTCCCTCCTTGAAATATATCTGCAGATGAGGAAATCATTCAACTGAATGCCCGTATCGAGACAGCGCGCAGAACAGAGGCTTACTCCTTCTTTCACAAGTTCTCCTATACGACGGAGTAGTTCCTTGCTGGCTGGCGGTGGTGATCCTCCTGCAGACCTCCTCACTGCTGCAATGCTCGCAGTGATAGCCGCAAGGACCAGGATGTTAGAGTGGTGGAAGAAGAACATAATTCGGTATTCGGTGGAAGAATTTCTGTCCCATAACGATGAGTAGAATCTCCAGGGGAAGCACTCGTAACTGGACAGTCCGGAAGCTAAGCATGTGGGGGGCCCTAGGAGAGAGCAATGCAACTCTCTCTTACAGCCAATCGATCCATACACTACTTGGAAATCAATATCGAGCTGCGAAGAGAGCGCGCCGTAAGCCGAGTTTTTGCGCATTCCCTCGAGCGATGAACAACGACGACTTGCGAAGAGCTCACAGTTCTAAACCAGAGTCTTGACATCCATTTATAGAGCCAAGCACGATACGGGCAGATCGATTATGGGTACAGTTCCCAGAGCATTACTCAATGGGAAACTTTCATAGGTCTATGTATGAGAAGTGAAATTGGTTTCGAGCACATGTCACTCCATGTATTCCTCGTCTCAGTATTGTTTCCGCCACTTTCATTATCTCCTGGAGCACTCAGAATGACGAACATGGTCTTCGTTCTATTACTACTCGCCAGTGGGGGTTTGGATACTCCCTTGGCTATGGCAAAAAACCTTCCTCTCGGTACTTATAAGACTCTGGATGGTTCGTTCAAGATTATAAGGAACCCCACGAATTTCGTACTCGAATTTGTGGATTACCCCGGCCCAGCGGGCCAGCTGCAGAGAACGACAACACCATTTAACGCGAAGCCTGCCAGGAGTGTACAAGGGCTCTCGGATCCGCCCGCAGAGCTCATACAACAATCGTGGACCTTCCATGATCTATTGCCTGATTTTACGGGCCGGCCTGATAGCATAATTTTCGGTATATGTGTGGGGAATGAAACTTCGATGGCGTATCTCGTGGCGGACGACTTTTGGCATGAACTAAGGCGGTCTGAGTAAGACCCCTACCTGGTTTGCATGTACCATAGTGATGAAACCGAGAGCAGTAAGCAACGATCAACGAGAAATGTGGCTGCTTGGTCTGAGAGATGATTAAGCAATATTCGAGAGAGATTATTGATACTTACCATGATGTTCCCAATGTTCTAATGTCCAGTAAGCGATCATGTCGATGAGCTCTGAGTCTATTCCCCATGTCATAGACTGTGAATGGACTCCATAATGGAGTCTCCATTCACAGTGTCATTTACTCGGTGCCGTGATCATTACGGTGCGCTTTACGGTGACAGTGCCGTAAACCTTACGATACGGTACCGTACCGTAGATTTGCCCATCTCTAGAATGGAGCATGACCTTTCACGATATAGTAAACTATTGTCATCTCTGGAGTTGGTGGCACAAACTTAGCAACATTATTCGAGGCGTCTGTTCTGACATAAACTTGCCTCAATGAACTTCCAGTTATTGCGGGAAGACTGATCTAACTTCGACGACTCGAAAGCAATTGGCCAGACGGCTAGGAAGTTCCTAGTAGGAACTGTATCGAGTCTCGCATACTGCGAGCAGTCAAACGCACCGAGCACCGGAATGGGTAGAAAGCGTGGAACACGGGCCAATCGTAATTACGACAAATCCTTTGTCACAAAGGCGACGCTACTGAAGACGACTCTTTTTCGTATCACAAAATGCCTCTTTCGCAGAGGGGGCTCTCATCCTTGCCACGTGCTCCTCATTCTTCTGGGCTTCCTGCTACTCCCAGTATACTGGCATGTTTATATCCCTATAGGATATAGGTCCTGATCACTCAAGGACCATAAGCTCCTTCCCTTCACCTCAAGTTCCTTAACAATCCTTTTCCCTTTGTGATGATACCTAATTAAGCCATTTTGAGGTGCTACGCCTAGCGTTAAATCCTAGCCCTAAAGTTTAGGTCCTTAAATCACTAAGGTCTCTAAGTTATAGGCCCACGGTGTACTTCTTTCACGTGCAGCTGCACGCAAATACACATCGATAGTCGTGTAGACCTTAGAACTTGCTGACGTGACCGCTTGACATTCCCTTATACTTAGGACGCGTCACGCTTTGTTGTTCCTTACGGCATTGCTTGTGGTTCCTCACGGAATTACTTTGCTTACGAGCTCTGGTGTACTGTACTTAGTCGATCTTCGGACTAATGTACTGTCGAGTTCACTAGTAATAGCAGAACGATCTTGGTCACTGTAGTTCTCCTCTCGACGGACTACGAGTCGTAGCACATCAACGCATCAGAAGAAGTTTTTAGATATATTCTTGTGTCCCACACGCCGGATTCCCTGAGTTCATATGCCACCGTGGCATCGGAGAGCCCGTCCCGGGACAAGGGCCCAACACAACCCGATTCCCGCGCAAGGCAGCGGTAAACTTGAGCAGTCCTAGGATGCATATCCGTACGTACCAGTTAATCACTTTCTTCTACACGCTATGAGTGAAGTAGAGCAAAGTTGGTTTGAAGCGCTCGCCACTTCGTATATCGCTTGTCTATGTTACATCTTTACATGTAACGCCTTTCCATCCTTCCCCGGATGGATGTTTGATGACCTCATATTCAAAGGATATCTAAGCGCTAGTACGTTTAGTATAGTGCTGGCAATTTGGGGGGGAACTGTGTTTACCATCAGGGAACTCAAGGCAATGGCTGATGGAATCAGCAGATTCTATTTACAATCATACTCTCAAGATCATCAACTAGTTTCAGACCGACGCGAGTAATCTTAGTTGTGCACTCTGCACAACTACAGATTCACTGTAGTTGGGACTACGATCCTATACCCGAATTAGTACTGGGAAAGGACCGTGTTAGTGATTTGCCCATTGAGTTAACACTACACTGGATAAAATTGCGGGAGAATGCCTGGCAAGGAGGATTGGGACGGCGACAATGATGCAGCAGCATCTCACAAATGACTCGAGGCGACTTAAGACTGCTAGCTAAACCGCAATTACTGCAAAGTCATAAGCAAATCGGAAATGCTTGCAATTATCTCTTCTGGGAGGGTAACCCACCTGCGTGTTCCCCTTCCAAGAAACCCCAGTGTATTGCTCTTCGACGTAAGTTGGAAATTGTGGTAGCAGAGCGATGTTTATCAATCACCTTTTGAGATGTGTTCCAAGTAAACAACTTTTCAACGCCTATTTTGAAAGTAGTAACTTCTATCTGGGTAAACACGCGAAATAGAAGTTGTTATTTCCCAGATAGGCGTCGAGAGCTTTTTCCGGTCCCTTGATGAGTTACTGTCGAATCTGTTCGCAAGGTATGGCATGGGATATAAGGTCGACTCGATAGTTATAAACTATTGGGGCTAGCCTTACTCTCGCTCTCGAAACTCGCCCTTGCCAGCTTTGGTTTCTCACCAGTGGTGTGTTATCGGTGTTAACCTTCTAGCGCTTATGCAGGATCTCATTTTGGATCTATACAGTTTCCATGCCACTTATCATACGACTGCATACGATCAGTATTTTGAGATTAAGCTATGACTACCAGCGTTATCAGCAGTCTATATCGGCCTAAGGGGGCTAAATATGAGTGCGAGCTGTGTGGGAAGGAGGCGAAGATTAGATGCAACGAGTGTCCCACGTACTACTGTTGCCCGGAACACTTCGATCACGATTGGAGGGGAATTCGAGAGCTTATAGCAAAGGTCATTTATCGTCAATCTTTACTTTACTGTTTCATACTCATGTCAGGATACGACTCTGTTGAGGGAGAGGACGCAAGCACTTGGTAGTGTTGAGGACAAGGAGAGAGGCGAAGCGGAGCTGCTTAATATTAAGGAGGAAGTCCGACACATATGCTCGGAAACAGCGAAGGGGTTCCTTGTAAGTTACTTAGTCTATCATAAGCTTTCATCGGTTCCTACGGTGTCATCCCTCTTCGGGGAAGATGCTGGAATGGAATAGTTCAGATTCGAGAAGAGTGTTTCCTAGCCATCCCTGGCGCCCTGCAAGCCTTGAAGCTCACGACTGAGCTCTTCGGAGCTACTTCAACTGAGCTCGTTGGTAGCTCGATGGAGTGGCTTCCAGGAGTTGGCGTCATGCCGTTCAGATAGTTACCTCCTCTTAGCAGAGTGTAATCTAGGAATAGGTAAACTGAACGTAGCAGAGGAGTTTCTAGGCCTGGCGAAATGGATTATACTGAAAAATCCCGACGCTGGTAAGCCTCCTTTTTAACGGTAGTAAAGAGGGCGTATTCAGGTAACCGTCCAGTGCTGATTTCGGCACTGCATAGGAATTTCGGCAGACTCTATGTCGCTCAGGACAAGCATGTTGAGGCCCTTCGTTCCTTCGCTGAGGGTAACTCTCATTTTTTATAGTTTGGAGTTTCACCCGTTTTACGTGAAGTGGTGAAAAAGGCGATATTCGCGGTGATAGTCGTGAAAAATGTTTTTCACTGGTGTTTTTCATATCGCGGGTGAAACTCCATAAAAGTGAAATTCTGTTTAGATACTTATCAAACCTCATCGTGCTTTGGTCCTGAGGACCCGAGGACCGCAGTGGCATATTTCCATATGGGAAAGGTCTTCCACATTACGGGTGAACGCACAAAGGTGAGGCCAGGCTGATACTGTAGGGTATAATTGTTGGTTGCTGTAGGCAGACTCGTTTTTCACGACGGTTATATGTATATATGCACGATGGTTTGAGAAGAGGATTGACACTGATGGTTGGTTGCCTGAGGTTACTCAACTCGTATAATTATTTTTACTATGAAGTTATGTTAGATTTTTCGGAGGCCAGGAGGTTTCTATCGTACTCCTGGTATAGACAGTCACCCCACAGCATTCGAGTGGTCTGTGATGACAGCTCGTGAAGGGGCTGATATAGGGGGATATAAGGGTAGTAGTAGTAGTAGTAGTAGTAGTAGTAGTAGCTGAGGGGAAACTGGTGTCGGATATGAAATACAGTGTTGAAAAATGAGTTTGCTTTCCTCAGCTGAGCTCAGAAGTTTCCTCACTAATTATAGAAGTTTATAAACGAGTCCGAGTAGACATGTACGGGAATAACCAATAATCTCCCAAAATTTCCTCAGAATTTTGGTATTGTCACCGATACATGTAGTTGACTATAAGCATATTTTCCCCCCATACTCGGGGATTCATCCAGACACCCATAATGCTCCCCAAGGGAACTCATTCTGAATTTCCCACATGGCTAGGAACACATTGTTCGATCAGTTTCCATATAAATGTCATCACATTAGTAGCATTTTTCCTAGTGTTATCAGACTCTAAGAAAGGTTGTTTCTCGAAGGTAGATGAGGCATTGCTCAACTGATGCTCTAGGTATGGACGTCGAAAGGAGCCAGCAGAATATGATGACGAATGGGAGAGGTCACGATGGAATATACTTGACTTCAACGCAGCGGGAAGAGACGATTGATTATTTGAAGTATATTCTGAAGTACCAGGAAGGGAAGGTTAATGGTGAGGGTGATGGAGGAGGACGATAGAAGATATTCTGCAGCGTGCGGTATTACAGGCTCGGACAATGCTGAGAAGACGACTGCTAGGGGGGCTTTTAAGAGAACGAGGGAGTCTGATGCTGTCGCAGAGACTAAGTAACTCTCGTATGGAGCATCGTGCGGCAGATCAGGGAGGAACCTATAATGGAGTTTCACCCGTCTTACGTGGAGTGGCGTAAAACTCGGTGAAAAACGCGATATTTGCGGTATGTAGTAGTCGTGAAATATGTTTTTCACTACTGTTTTTCATATCACGGGTGACACTCTAATGTTCCCCTTATTTTGAATTTTTCACATGGCTAGGAACACAATCTTCTATCAGTTTTTTACGTAAGTGTCGTCACATAAGGAACATTTTTCCGCATTTTATCGGACCTTTTAGGACGTTACTCTGGTTTAGATATGTACTGGCATTGATGCTGTTTTATATGGACATGGAAATCCCCACAGCGAAGGTGTGTTGTGGTGACTGATGCGTAGTGGTAGATGACTTTAGGAGTATATCGTAGCGGCTGATGACTACTTCCAGGATGTGGTCGAAACGTTGGACTCTTCCCATGCTACTGATAGGATGTTCGAGTTGAAGGCGAAGACTGAGTAGTGAAAGGGGGTACTAGTGCTTCTGGTCTCGAGTTCAGCAACGTCATGAGTTCGTGGAAGGTGTGGTATGGTTTGTAGTATCTATGTCAGGCATTACAGGACGATGCTATTCGATACAAACTACGGGGCATGATGATGGTGACTATGGTAGGGCTTGGTGTTAGCCATATAGCGTGCGCTGTGTTATAGTATGTTAATTGGGCAAGGCCATTGTTGTGTACTTGGGACCTCAAGAGTACCAAAAGAGGTAGATACTAGTACTAACTATAGCGAAATGAATATAGGGACGAATTGTGTGAGCTACGGTGGGAAGGAAGGAGACAACAATTTTGTGGATACATCACAGCCATGTGCGGGAACAACTGTCTTAGTGAGAGATTATGTAAGTCAAGGCAGTACTGGGCAAAAGCATGAGAACTCGCAATTTGGTGATCTCTCACGTACATACATGTTCCTTATTACTGATAGGAGTGGATCGCGCCTCTCATTGTGGTTCGAGGAGCATTGTATGTCACTAAATGGCAGCGAGGTGAATGATGGGAAGAGTGTCTGTTGAGGAGATAGTGCTATCACGTCAGCTTGCGGTGTAGTTTGACGGGGGATGAGGTTGAGTTGGGTTCGCTGTTGAGGTTGATGGCACTCTATGCGTAAGTGAACTTTTTCGAAGGTCCCATTAGTAGTGAGTTTGGATTACTCGTGAAGTCGGCGTTGGTTACTCTCACATGGTAGGATAACGAAATGTATCTAGCCTGATTAACACCAGATCTGTGCAGTTGTTTACGAAGAGTGAAGCATAACTAACCGAGATTCCCTCCTAAGCATAGCGGACTGCCACGCTAAGTGTCCTATAGATATTTGGGCTCCTAGGATGAGCGAGATAGGTATAGGTTAGCCTAGGGGGAAACTATATTCTCCGAACGGAGGAAGCGAAAGGGAATTTGCCCTACCGCTCTACTCGTGATGAAGTGCCGGGATGAAAGCTCTGCCCATGAATACTGCATACAGTTTTGATGGTATTTTAATTCGTTTCTGTTGCCGTGAAATTGCATCCTTTGACATTTTGCGATTGTGGCTGATGTTATCCCTACAAGGTCGCGTACAGTATTTATTTATCCTTGGGTTTACCTGTCCATGTCGAGAGCCCTCGTGCCTTCGGCACTGCCATCGAGTAGTGGCGATTACCACTATCGTCCCCATCAGCAACAACAGCAACAGCAGTATAACTCTACCCAATCTACTGCAGCCTGTAGTCCTAGTGCTACTGCAACTCTTAGGGGGAATAGTAGTCATACTAGCGATGTGGAGATCCTCGAGGATAAAAAGGGGAGAAGGAACGGAGGAGTTCCTGTCTACTACGAGAAGGGAAGGTATGTCATTGGAGTGTCACGACCCGTCGTCCCGTGATACTCTGTGAAAAAGGCGATATTCGCGGTGATATGCAGTAGTCGTAAAATATATTTTTTACTAGTTCTTTACATATCACTAGGATGAAACTCCACAGTACATTACTGAGTTGGTGAATTTTGGTATCAGGTTTCTCGGAAAAGGAGGATTTGCTAAAGTATATGAGTACACAGAGCAAAAGACCGGACAGCGAGTAGCCATTAAGGCGGTTCAGAAGGCTAGCTTGACGAAGGAAAAGGCTAAGGCGAAATTGCAGAGCGAAATTGCGATACATCGTTCGCTCAAACATCCGCGGTAAAACGTTGTTATTTGAATTTATTGAAACCGGTTTTATGTTGTTAGAATTGTGCGTTACCTTTCTCACTTTGAAGACTCTAACTGCGTCTACATCGTTATGGAGCTTTGCGCACATGCAACACTTAATGAAATTCACAAGCGGCAGAAACGGTACGGAAAAGTGCTGTTGGTGTGGTACTAATGGTTATAATAATATAGATTCACTGAGCAGGAGGCACGGCATTACATCTGGCAGTTATGTGATGGAGTGCGATATCTCCACCAGAATAGAGTCATCCATCGAGATCTGAAACTTGGCAATCTGTTCCTCAAAGACAGTGAGTCGTCATCACACGGGCGGCGGCGACTGGTTGTGGCCAAACTCGACGGAGGAAATAGAAATGGGGGGAAGGGAAATCTTCGTTGACTCAGAATTTTCATTCTACTACTGAGTAGGATGGACTGAAAATCGAAAATGAAATTACATTGTCACTGATATTGGTGACAATGTAACTAGAGTCTTTCTGGTAGGTACTGATTTGAAGATTGGTGATCTCGGTCTGGCGGCTAAGTTGGATTATGATGGTGATAGGAAGACCACAGTATGTGGTACTCCGAACTATATCGCCCCTGAAATCCTCGAAGGAGCTCACCATAAGTACGAATTATTGACCTCCGTCCTGTAGTTGATAGCTGTGATAGTGTGAAGGGGAAGTATGCACAGAGTCAACTGCATGTGTGGGTGATAATATAAAAACTCCGTGGAAATTTTGATAATTTCCGCTGGTCTCTGCATAGTTGTACCCCAAGTCGTACGTAAACTCCTCGGATTAGTAAGAAAGTCCTGAGTTCGGCGAACATATATTGCAAAACTGACTTTCACCATGGTTAGAATTACCGATAATGTGAACGGTACTGAAGCCATGCATCAGATACAAAGGTCACAGCTATGAGGTGGACATCTGGTCTATAGGAGTTATTCTCTACACTATGTTATGCGGAAGGTGAGGCGAAGGGAACCATTCTTTGAAAAAATCTTTTCATTGAAAAAAAAGAATTTTGAATTTCTTCTTTCTTCTTTTTCATTCTTCGAAAGAGCTTTGAAAAATAACGTTACCCAGAGTCTGATAAATATTTTGAATGTGATGGCATTTACATGGGAAACTGATTGAAGAATGGTTTCCTAGTTATACGTGGAAAATTCCGAATGAGTTCGTTCCCTCTGGGAGCATTCTACGTTCGTGGATGATTTCCTGGTTACGCCCATCCTTTGCTGCTCGATACAAAACTACTGTCTGTGTGCTTTTGCTTGTGGCATTTTATTGTGTACTCAGACCGCCGTTTGAAGATCAGGATGTGAAATCAACCTATAGACGAATTCGACATTGTCAATATAAGTTCTCCGGTATACCAACGGGAGCTTCTTGGCAGATACAGTGCGCGCAATCTAGTCGTGCGAAAACGTGTCACCAGTTTAGCTCGTTATACGGGACTCGAATTCGCCTCAAATTTTCAGCCGTATGTATCTTGGTAAAGTTCTATCGCTCAAATACTACAATACTTTTCGAAAGAACATTTACTTAAGCCATTCTTCACCCAAAATGCGGCAGAGTTGCGACTTATTACTCGGACTCAAGGTGACTGGAACTCTGTCTCCAAACACGCAGGATGTATCGCAAGATCACTAGCTATGTAGCTCTTGGTTGTCTCAGATAGTGTTTCCATATCGAACGAGGCTAAGTGCCTCATACAGAGCATGCTACAGACAGAGCCGAGTAAGAAAGGGATGTGTTAGTCTCGTGGGTATGATTGTTTGCTATCATCCCGGAGGTCGTGGGTTCGATTCGTCCTTTTCGCGTTTTAGCTCTTCGACCCACACTGGATCAAATAATGAGTTCAACTTGGATGATAGGGAAGACACCGGCCCCACAAGTCATGAGCAGCAACCCGATGCATTACTATATCGTGAGAATGAGTCGTACATATCGAGTCCACTGTTGATAGCGTTGTGGTGGTGATGGTAGACTGGTAACGCGGGTAACGGTGTAAGTGATAACAACAACAACAAGAAGCATCAATATCATCATCGTACGCCTGCGAGCAGTAATACCTACGGCAGTGGCGAAGGCGATAACAATACTTCCCCCCAACCCTCTGGCTCGTGCGATGCCGCCACCCTACTTGTATAATCCTCCACCTGCGCCCGCATCTCTGCTAACTCAAAGATGCGCGTCACCACGTCCAGGGCATCTCTTATCAGGCGCTGCATCTCGAGCGTACGAAGTTGTCCGCCACAGCTCCATTGATGGTATACTTTATTCCTCTCAGGTGTACCCCAGACCGTATGCTCAATCCGGATATTGCTCGTATCGATAGCCCTCAGGCGAGTTCGATTATGTTGGGATTTCATGGGCAGATCTTTCGTGACAGATTAGTACACGGTCCGGCACGATCAGTGCGAATCGTGGAATGTGTATGTCGCGAGAACCGTCACCCTCGGTGTCCTCATCAGCTTGCCGAAACCAATTCAATGGAATGTAGTTGAATAAGTGTTTGTGTAGCTCAGTGTTGCTGAACTAGGCGATCACCATCTCCTGCATCCCATCCTTCGAGACCGGCAATGCATCAGAGAGGTCATCCGCCATCATCAGCGAACACCAGTGGTAGACCGCCACATCCACATGTAGTGCGCAACAGAAACTCACAGGTCGATATACTGGCTTAGGCGACACTGCGACGGACTCCCCAGTCTGTGGCCGCCTTGGGAGGTGTGAACAGCCCAGGAACGGTAGTTAGTGATGTAGTGTGTTTTCACATATGTGTGGTCTTGTCATAATTAGTCTTCCCGACGTATACCGAGTTGCCATATGCGGCAAGGCAGTAGCAGCACGACAGGTTCAGCCCAACGCCGTGTAAGGAGTGTTCACCAACGTACGTCATCCGTGTTTCGCCTTAGCCGTTGCCACCAGTTGGAGATCGGCTCACCCCTGCAGGGTCCCCTGGGCCCGATGGAGATGGTAACGCCGCTGGTCGATCGAGACTGATGGGATAGCTCTAGGTGCGACTCCCCCTACTACTAGTGGTAGTTCGAGACCGAAGAATGGCGTATTGAGGCAAGCCTCTCCAGTAAGCATCATCACTCGACTGCTGAGGTTACTATGATGGTTACCCTTCGTAGTTGTTGCGGTCTCGGAATGTTCAAGACACTCAGCAAACAAGTGAGCAGTGGGAGGCTGTTACTACACCTAAGGGTTATGAATGATCAGACATCTCGACGCCCCAAGCCAGTTATTCAACTTCACCTGGAGGGACTCCATCGTCGGCGAGCGGTCAAGTGATTCGCGGCACCACGGGAAGAGTGCTAGGCCGGGAGAACGGTCCGTTGCCACCGGTGTGGATCACGAAGTGGTGCAACTTCACGTCGAAGTGATACTACGCCTTCATATGCTCGTCGTTCGTGATTGTTGGTTCGGCCAGGTACGGTATCGGTTTCCTTCTATCGAGTGGCAACATGGGAGTTTACTTCAACGACAGTACGCAGATGATCGCTTTGGAGGCGTCAAGTGATGATAAACCATCAGCAAAGATGCAAGTCGAGTAAGCCTATTGGACGAGCTCTCGGTGCGGGGAGGTCTTTTTATCAGGTATAGATACAGAAGCGGTAGCAATACCGAACGGACGGAAGTTCTTCCTATGGATGGTGATTGTTATACTAATGTTGTTGTAGGTTCACTCATGAGCTTAGGTCAAGGCGGGTGGCAGGTTGAGTCTGAGAATCGTCCAGAGAAGGGACCGGGCAGCACTCGAGATGTTAAGAAAAAGTTGACGTTGATGAAGCAGTTCCGAGCCTTCTTATTGCAGGATGATACCAAACGTGAAGGGGTCGGTCAGTTGAGTCACACTCTCCATTAGGACTATAATGAAGTTGTTCAGGTTACGTTTGGCTATAGTCGTATCGCCCTTCCGGAGGGCCAGTCTTCGACTGATCATACTGGCGGCTCTTGTGGAGTTGTGGGCATACGGAAATTCCTTGACACTAAGCATGGTATTCTCTTCACGTTGACTGATAAGCTTATACAAGTGAGCTAATCTCAGTGTGGGAGAACATGCACATGGTCAACTACGTGTGTTGGGCGAATTCCTATTGGTTTTTTGTATACTTCTACCGGGATTAACTCGGCTTTGGAAACTTCTGAGTTCAGCTATGGAGGGCGAGCGTATATGGCTCAAACACCGAGTTTCCTCTGTGCTTAGGTCTCCTTCTACGATGGTTCGGAATTGATCTTATCGCCTAAGACGGGCTCAGCAGTTTATGTGTGTCGGAAAAGTGGTCGTCGATACACGTACGACTCCGTGTGCCTCCCACACTGTTCTAAGTGTTCGCGTTAGATTCAGTCTCAGTAGACTGCCTGAGCTCACTGAGCTCGGGTCACGGGATCAGTTGGCGCATGATGTGGTGAGTGACAATGAGTTGATCTCCATGGGTGTATTTGCTTGGCAGGCTAAGCGTGTGAAATTCGCAAGGGAAATCCTGAGCCACTCGCACTCCTCCCAGGGCAGTGTTACACAGAGTCGATGAATGAAGTCTGTGGTGACACTGCTACTACTATTACTACTACTGCCTAATGTAGCTGATAACAACAGCCTCGTCGCTTCGCAGTTATACTAGAACGCTAATAACACTATTGTTATTTTCGTGGCTGCGATGTAATGATAATAATAAATTCTTGCCCCTTTACCCGTTCACCTTTAAAAGCAACATTACCTGCACTTACTCCATGGAGATAAATGCATGTAAATTTAGTTGCTTTGAATTTCCTAGACTTGGGTTACTAAGTTGGTGGTCGAAATGACGACATCGATTTTGATTTAGCGCTCGCCCAGTGGTGTGTGTGCGTACGTCGCAGGACTCCACCTGAGGTTCTGAAGATCAATCAAGCCAAAGCAAAGGTCTGTCATCATCACCATCAGTCGATCGGCCGTTTCGGATCTATAATCGGGCCGTGGCTAACTTGCAGTACCGACAGAGCTCGGGATCTGAACATCGTGTTATACGTGTAAAAAGGGATTCTGTCGGAATCGATGCTAAATTTCAAAACTGGTTTACTGATGGAGGGCTAAGATAGATCATCAGCGGGCGAATCGAGAGTATCTTGAAACCGTCACAACCTTGCATCTGCGTTATCATCACAGCGTTTCATAGTTGAGAAAATTGCGCCTTAAACTCGAGTAACACCTTAAGTGATTACTCCAGCGGCATCGTGGCTGATGATGGAACTCTTTAACGCTCGCACTAATACCACGTACCATTTTTCAGCCCGTCTCTCTGGGGAAGCTCTGTTTATTTGTTCGACTAGTTAAGGCTGTTGATAATGAACGTTGTTGCACTTGTGACTCGTATAATCTATCATGCCAGACTACGTGGATAATTCTGTTTGAAAAAACTCCTTATATTGCTCCTAAACATACGCTGCCTTGAATTGAGTATTCTTGTGAAACAAGCCCATTGCCAACTGAAAAGAAGGAATGGGTTCAATGTACTTAACGAAATTGGCGATCACTAGAGTACCGTATGCAAATAGATGAGCATTTCTTCCTCGTTATTACTATGGCCGACTGAAAGCACACTATGTGTATTTCTAGGGGTTCTATGTGTTGGTAAACCTCTTTACAGAACTCTATGGCCTCAGTCATCAACTCGAGAGGTGCTATCGTGACTCGATACGCGTTAAATTTCGTGCTGTTTTTCAGATCAATGGCAGTTTCGATACGCATGGGAGTAGCAGCGAAATGGGAGAGTTACGTCATTTTCAATTCGTCTACCTCGGAGTGTATGTGTTAGCAGTCTTCGCTGACTGGCTCCAAGGCCCGTTTGTGTATGCGTTGTATCGGTCGTACGGATATAGCATTGAGGATATTGGTAGTAGTATAGGGAAGCGACTGTATTAATAAGGTTTTTGTGATGATGGTGGTCTTTATCAATGGAGTTTCACGACCGTGATACTACTGAAGAATATATTTCACGTTTTTCACCGAGTTTAACGCCACTTCACGTAAAACGGGTCGTGAAACTCCCATGTTCATGAATCACTTCAAAGGAACCTTTACGTGCGATCAAGTTCTCATAAATGTGAATGGAATGTGAGTGAGAATATATGATATTAACTAGATATTCCGAGTGCCGAAACTAATAATCTCGCTACTGCCAGACTACCCAACGCGGAACGATAAAGGATCGGTCGTTACTTTCGAAGCTCTAATTTGAGACTAATTCGAATTTTCCTCCCCCTCGTTACTTTGGGTAAAATTCATCGTGAAGGGTACAGCGTACTGAGACCGTATTGTATGCAATGTCCGTCATCATCACTTATATGAGGAGCTCTTCAAAATTCCCCTCCCGTTGCGTGAATATTTTACTCGGTTCAATCGTATAAATGAACTCCTCGTGGCTAAGGACTCCGTCACAGGTTCTCTATTTATTGTCGGCTTCCTGACCTCGGGTGTTTGCGGGACGTTTGTTGGTGGTATGGCTGATGCCTTCGGTCGGAAGAAGGCTTGCCTGATGTGAGCATCATCTTTATACCAGTTTTAGAGTTTAGTTTTATCAGGTACTGCATTCTCTACGCTTTAGCATGTCTACTCTACCACTTGCGGAACTTCTATGTTCTACTACTAGGCCGGTGAGCTTACGTTGTCATCATTATTTGGCTCTTACTTGGATTGAATCATCAGGTTCTTGGGAGGGGTTTCCACATCACTACTCTTTTCGGTATTCGAGGCATGGATGTTGGAGGAGCACGCGAAACGGGGTTTCGACGAATCGGCACTCAACGATACTTTTGCCAAGGCCACTTTGGGTAGACGTTATTTCGCTGTTGTTCTCGATTTGTTATATAGGTAACGGCACGACAGCAATTGTGGCTGGAGTGGTATCGCATTTTGCTGCTGTCAAGTACGGTCCTATTGGGCCCTTCCGGGTCTCTGCTGCCACGTTGGGTATATGCGGAGTAGCGATCAGTTTACTATGGTGAGGATTTCTGACAGTGTGGAAAATTTGTTGGTGACGATATGGAAATTTCGAGGAAATTTTGACAAGTTCTTATTGGTGTCTGTACACTTCTACTCGAATTCGTGTGTGATAGTTAGTGAGGAAACTGCCGAGCTCAGCTGAGGGGAGTAAACATATATTCCAACACTGATTTCTGAATGGTGGGAAAATATGAGCATGATCAACTATGTATATGTGTTGGTGACGATATGGAAATTTTGAGAAATTTTGGGACGTTGTTGTTGGTTTCTGTACACTTCTACCCGAATTCGTGTGATAATTAGTGAGGAAACTGCCGAGCTGAGCTGAGGGGAGTAAACACACACTCCTCCAACACTGGTTTCTGAACTTCTTATTCTCAGGAACGAAAATTACGGCAAACCCGACTCCAAAATTGCCTCGTCGTCGAGCTCACCATTCTCTGCTATTCGGACAGCAATGATGGAGGCCCTTCGAGTCGTTATAGCACAGCCTACTGTCCTCATCTGTGGCTTGATACAGGTTGGGACAGTTGGCTTGCAGCATTCACGTTATGAGTATTGTGCTTCAGTCTTGCTTCGAATCGGCTATGTATGTATTCGTATTCATGTGGACGCCCGCCCTTCCGGAGTCTATGGATCCGGGCACGGTCTTTACTGACTTTATGATAGCAATGATGATTGGAAGTGAAGTATTTGAGACCCTTAGTGTGAGTGTACAGATTCCTCAATTGTGCTGTAGGACTTATTTCAGGGCCGATCGAGTCGACTGCCCAGTATCCTACCTTACGTCCTTTTACTAGCAGCAATCGCTCTAGCAGTAGGTCTAGTAGTCTGGGAAAATGTGCACATGGTCAACTGCGTGTGTTGGTGACCATATGAAAACGTTGAGGAAATTGGGGTGAATTCTTGTTGGATTCTACTGGAATTTGTATGATTGATGATTTTGTAGAATTCCCCAGAATTTCATGTTGTCACCAACACACGTCGTTTAACATGTGCGTAATCTCCCACATTGTCGTTTGTTATAACATCCTTTGTCCTTGTCAGGTTCCATGCTTTACTATAGCCTCGTTGCCAAGACTAGCAGCATTCTGTTTATTCGAGGCGTGCTGTGGTGTCTACTTCCCGACGCATTATTCGATCCGGTCGAGTAATTCTCAACAACTTGTGTGTTCGTTGAGCCTCGGCTCAGGTATCGTGCCGGCGTCGATTCGAGCAACTATGTTCAATGTATATCGAGTACCTCTTAACGTTCTTGTTGCGAAGATTTGTACCAGTGTGGGCACCATGAACGAGTCTGCAGTGTTCGCCACTTGTTCTGTGAGTATTCCACGGGTCTGTTATAACTTGAAACTTCATGGTCGTCAGATCCTACTCATTGCTGGCGCTCTACTGGCGTTCAAGAACGACCAACTGCTACTCAAAGTGTCCAATGCTAAGGAAGACTAGTGTGTGCGTGTGTTCTGATAGTTTCTCCACGGGTGTAGTGCATCGCGTTGTTGTCCAGTGGTAGCATTTAACGGCGAATTTGAGGGTATCAAGGCATACCCTTGACTGTGTCACTACCTAGTGCGACTATTTACACAGTGCCACGGTAACGCTACTACTACTCGAGTGTCGAACGGACCCGCGGTAGAGGGAGGATTCCTGTTAGTTGTTGTTTCGGGAGAAGCACCCCTCAATAAAGCCCTAGTGAAGGGGTCAACTACAGGGGCCACAGGAGTTGATCCTGTTAACTCAGCAACCTCCTCCTTCTCCTCCCGATGGAGGCTCCTGAATGACCAGAATCATTATTAAACTCTGGTTCTACTATGGTATTGTGTACTTTCGAAATGGAGTGTTGAAAGAGGGCCTATAGGAATCACCATGATGATGATGGTGGTCTACATCGGCCCCACTAGTAGAAGCATTAACATCAACTCGGTGTGAATGTACAGGGGATGTGTCTGGAGTAGGGCTCTATTCCCCATCACTCGTTTCTTCCACTACCTCCCTTCCTGGGAGCTCCTTCTTGATGGTGAGTGCCACTGGCGGTGCTCCTACGCCATGGTGGTATCGGTCTACCATCCTCATCTTCTGAGGATTGCCAACGAGGATCAACCTCATGCATGCTTCATCGTGTCGCTCACCTCCTGTTGCTGTACGAGCACCCCTCAGGGCACACCAATCCCTATTCCCTTGTTTTGGTTTAACAACTTGCCAACCATCGTCAGGGTCCGACAACCCGGGATAGCCGGCGCCGCCCACTGAATCTACAACGGAACTACTGTGATGAGGCCGCCCGAGGGTTGCAGGGCCTCACCCTCGTGTTCTCTTCCCTTGCCTTTACCCTTCCCAACAATACCAGAGCCGCCTCCAATACCGCTCGGATCTCGTCCCCTCCCTTTAGCTCCTGAATAGGGGCCTCGACCTGATGGGAATTCCTGGAGGAGTGGTAGCAGAACTAATACAAGGACTACTCCCAAGCGCTCCAGCGTTGTATTCCTCCCCCTGTTGTGGAATCAGTCGCTGCTTAGCATTCGGTGGGGAAAATCGATGAACTCTGATTCCTATTGGATTTGATATGTCCGGCCCTGGGGGGCCAGGGTACATCCTAAACATACCCCAAGTTGATCTGTGCGTCACTGCTGCATGGGGTTCTACCTAAGTAACTGTTGCCTATCGTATTGGTATTCGCTTGATGACGAGTCTCGAGGTTCTCTTGGAGTCGTTTGTATCATCACTGTTGTTGCTATTGTAATCGTAATGTATGGCTAACTTCTAGGACAACGTAGCTTGAAGGCACGCGAATTTGGGAGAAAAATTAAGAAGATGCCTTAACGAAGATTCGAACCCGGGTTCTTCGATAGATGAGTTGCGCGCTCCACCGCGCCGCCAATCGAGCAGATTACATAGACTTCGGCGTTTCAACTGGATGGGTAGAAGAGTGAGATAGCGGGATCGATAAGGGGTGGAAAGTGGATACCGCACGCCACAGACATCCTGTGTCATCATCAGTACTTTCCCTCGTTTGAGCTAGTGCTGCTCGGCTTCCACCACCTTCAACACGCCTCGCATCCCTTCCGACATGTCGAACGCTAAAAACGCCACCACTAACGCTGCCGCCTCCAAGGAGAAGCCCTCCGAGGCTGCTCATACTGAGGCTCACACCAGGCCTCAGCCAGTCGATCGTGCTTATTATGAGAAGAAGATTGACAAGCTTAGTGAGGAGATCAAGGGTCTTCAAGCCAAGGTGAGAGCACCACTGCTACTGCATGTGGAGGTGTAGACTGGCATTCTAGGTTCACGATCTCAATGAGAAAATCCACGGCAAGTCCGAGGGTAAAGATGAGTTCCTCCGTAAGCGCGATCTGCTGAAACAGCAGATGGACGAGCAGCAGAAGCTCGTGTCTGATTTGGAGACTAAGAGGAGCAAAACTCAAGATGGTATTCATAACAAGCAAACTGAGGTAACCAACGATCTCTCGTTTAAACGCAACATGCCCCATGCAGGGACGCCAACTCCGTGCTGAATTGAGTAGCATGCAGAAGAAGTTGGGCTTCTCTACTGAGGACCAAATCGATGACAAGATCGCTGAGATCGAGTACAGGATGCACACTGAGTCTTTGGATCTCAAGAAGGAGAAGGAATTGTAAGGTTCATTTCTCGGACGAGTTCGCATTGGTGTGGTATCGCGACTTGTTCAGGATGAAACAGATTTCCGAGCTTAAACAGACCAAACCTCAGCTCAAGAAGTTTGCCGCTATGAAGAGTGCCTCCGGCGAATATGATTCCACCAACGTCGGACCCCTGAAGGCCAACTTGGAAGACATCAAGACGTGAGTTGTCACCTTCGAGTCGTCACTATGCGTTACAATGCATCTTTAGTAACCTCAACAAGGCCCGTGATGAGAGGCGTAAGCTCCACGAGCAGTACTCCAAGCTTATGGACGGTCGTCGCAAGGCTATGGAGGGCATGTCTGATATTTTTGAAGCCCGTGAGAAGCTCAACAAGGAGATCAGAGCCAAATACGGCCAGATCAAGGAGCTCCGTGACGAGCGCTCTGCTAAGATCAGCGCTTACACCGCCTGGGTCGCCGAGCAGAAGGAGAAGCGTGCCGCTCGTGAGAGAGAGGAGCGCGAGGCTAGGTTGGCCGAGGAGGAGAAGAAACGCCTTGAGGAGGAGCTGGAGAAGGAAAAGGTAAACTCTATGCTGCAAGTGTTGCATGACTCGATGATGTCAATCTGTTGTAGGAAATTCCTTATCTTGCTGAAATCGAGTTAGTCGAGAACACTATCAAGTATTGCAAGACTTTGGCTCCTGAGGAGAAGAAGGAAGAGGCCGCTGCCAAGGCTGATGTTCCTACTATTGACGGCACTATGGCTCTTGTGCAGAAGAAGGACAGGGTTCAGAACTACTACTTCGCTCCTACTGCTCAGAAGAAGAAGGGCAAGCACAACAAGCAGGGCGCTAGCCAGGCTGCTTTCAAGCACGGTCTTGATACTCTGCAGCTCTTCTCTGATATGAAGGTTGATGCTCCCAAGAATAAGGACGATGTTCCTAAGTGCATTGAGGATCTCAACAAGAGGCTCGCCGAGTATAAGGATCTCCAGAAGGTCGAATACGAGAATCGTCAGAAGCGTCGTGAGGCTCGTGAGGCTGCTGCTAAGGCTGCAGCTGAGCAAGCTGACGAGACTGCTAAACAGGCTGAGACTACTGAGGCTACTGCTTGAGTTTTTCTAAACCACATTGTTAATCAATAACAATAGTAATCATCCTACCCCTTTTCTATCATCGTTGTCGTGACGGTGGTGGTAATGTGAGGCGGTTGAGTGGTTGGAAAGCCAGTATGCCTCTTTCATGTAGTCTTCGTCGTACTACTACTATCCGAACCTAGTATCATTCTTGCTGCTATTGCCAGTCTCCTGATCTCGAAGTCGACTCTTCATGATCTCCCTTTTCCTCTCCTGCTGAACGGTTGTGTATCGGTAGTCCTTTTCTCGCGGCACTGTTGATTACGTCAACAACAGCAGGGTATTTGGCTCTGGGATACATCTCACCGTTATAGTAGACCTGCTATCTTTGCTTATCGTGCTGGGGTTGATGAAGTCACATCTACTTTATCACAACTGTTCCTGCCTATATACTACTACCCTATGAATGGTTGCAGTAGCCGCTGTGGGCATTTAGCTGGTTAGAAGGTTAGCCGCTCAGACTGGCCGCTAGAAGTTAGTGACTGCTCGAAGTGCTTTCATCGTGTTGAGTTAAGGAGTATCTTGTGGAATCTTACCGATGTGGAAAACATAGTTAACTGGATGAAACCTGTTTGATGACTAATCATTCGCATGTTGAGAAAGGAGTGGTATCATGTACTTTATCGTGAATCTGTCAACCAACATAGAGTTAGTAGAAGTCTGAAGAGCCTACAATGGTCAGGTGAGGAAGAGACGTTGTCAATGAACGGATCAGATCGTGCGATAGTCGTAGTCGTACGAGATCGTGATGTAGTAATCGTAGTACGACTATGTCGAACGGTTTGGCGTCACGCCTAGCAATACATTGGGAATGACTGTAGCACTGTCATCACTAGCTTGGGCTGTTGGTACATGATGCTTTCAGGATTCAGTGAGGAATGATGAAGTTGTGGTAAGCTAGGTCTATGCCCACCGCAATACATGCGTTTCTCTACAGAGCGGACGGCGGCTATAAACGTGATGTTCCTGCATACTGCTTATATAGGTCAACGTGTGTATGAACAAGTGTCGTCGTTTGCCGTGATACCTGCTGCTGGCTTCATCATCATCAGTCCTGAGTATATGCTTGCATGGGGGTGTGGGCGACCTAAGAAGAGTGTTCCGCCTTGACTCTATCGCATCTTCCCGACGCAACACCCAGTTTGAGTAGCTTCGGTCACACTACACTCGAAGCTGTCGCATCATAACTTCTGTTTCCTGTTGTGTTTGGTGGCAGAAGTTCACATCTTCATAATACAAGGAAATATAATCTTACTGCTTATGCTGATACTCTCGCCTCGTGGAACTATGAGAGCTGCAGTTGATTCGGAAACTTGGTCCTACAACACACTGTGTTTAGTTGAATACCATTTTCAGAGGTTGAATGTGTCTAGGGAGGGACAGCATTGTGTGCTCTGCTATCCCTGGCTCTGACGTGTAGACCTTGAACTCCTTACTTGGAGGAATCCTGACGTTCCTTTACCTGTAAAGTTACGAAAAGGCACTCTTTCCTCAAGGAGATGCTCCCATGTTATAGCCCCCCTAGCCTCGTTTAAACGAGTTGGGTTGAGTTTCTAGCGTAGTTGTTAGAAGGTTTCCTATGGTACGTTCATCAAAGCGCGACACTGCTCGTACTCACAAGAAGAAGAAGTCTGAGGAGGGGAAGACCAGCAGCACTTCTGCTACTTCAGCAGCAGCAGCAGCTCCTAAAATACAAGATGCTCAACTTGCCGAGATCGCCAAGTTCGGCTTGCCTTCAGGGCTCGCTAGCCTCTCTGATGCTGATGACTTCACCGCTCGATGGCTCGAATGCCTAGCAGAAGGTCGCCAATGGGGCGGTGCATCTTATGGTGGTAGAGGCGTACAGGTCCACAACAGTGGTGATGTTATCATCGATAATGTTACTCTATGTTATGTTGGCAACACGGGCAGTACTTCTCTGTTGGAAAATGCCAAAGTACAATTTCTAAAGGGACATTGTTATGGTCTCATCGGCGTTAATGGTGCTGGTAAAACGACTCTACTACGACGGTTGGCCTCTTTTACTCTACCCGGCACTCCTCTACATTTGAAGTATGCCTACGTGGCTCAAGAGCTCACACCACCTCCTGAGGAGGAGGCTCTCACTACTCTAGACTACACTGTAGCAGCTGATGTCGAGCGGGCACTGTTGATGAAGGAGGATGCCGACTTGAATGAGAAGCTTATCGCGGGGGTTGATATGACTGATGAAGAAGTCCAGAGGGTTACTGAGGTCGTGGAACAGCTCGATGCCATAGGAGCTGACCAAGCCGCTCAGCGGGCTCGAGCAGTGCTGATGGGTCTGGGCTTTCCTGAGAACCTTATAGATGCTCCCGTGAAGCACCTCTCGGGTGGCTGGTTACTCCGTGTGGAGCTTGCCAGAGCTATCAGTATGCGACCTGACGTTCTCCTGTTGGATGAGCCGACTAATCATTTGGATCTTCATGCGAAATGGTGGCTAACTGAGTGGCTTAGCGAGAAGAGGGAGGAGCTCGTTACGGTCATTGTTAGTCACGATTCGGAATTTATGGACGAAGTTTGCACGGACATCTGCCGAGTTGATTCCTTTAACAAGAAGCTCGTCTACTATACCGGAAATTTCACTTCCTTCAAGGAGCAGTTGAATGCTCGTACGACTAGGCTCACTGGTGCGCTGGAAGCTCAGCAAAAACAGAAGGATCGAGCGGCCGCGTTTATACAAAATAATAAGCATTCGGATGACCCCAACAAACAGAAGCAGGCAGCCGAGCGATTGAAGAAAATGGACAGGCTCAATTTCTATCGTGAGGACGGGAAGAAGTTCAAGAAATTCTCATTGAAAGTTTTGTCCGAGGATGCAGTGCGGTTGCCGGAGTATATTGACGCTAAAGTCTCGAATATGTCGGCGAGCAACAAGGTGGAGAATTTCAAGTTCAAGTTTCTACAACCAGCTGAGATCGACAAAGACCTCTACATTATGAAGAAATGTGTTATTGGTTATGGAAAAGAGTCTATTGTTGGTGATGTTACTTTCACTGTCCAGATGGGCGCGCGGATTGTCCTAGTTGGTCCCAATGGTACGGGCAAGAGCACTCTTATGAGCGTCCTCAATGACGATGGTGTAGCAACGAAGATTTCGGGTGGACGAAGAGTTGAGAACCGATGCAGAGTGGCTCTGGTCAGCCAACATCATTTGCAGAAAATGAAGGATTTCCTCGATATCTCCCCGGTTGAGTATTTTAAGCATGAGCGACCAGAAGAAGCGAATTTATCAAATCAAGAGATATGCAACTTTCTCGGCTCCTTTGGCCTTGGGCGGTTCGCCCTCTCTTCTGTTATCGGACAACTCTCAGGTGGTCAGCGGGCCCGACTCGACTTAGCCGTCGCAGTAGCGTCACGGCCACATCTGCTACTACTGGATGAACCTACCAATCATTTAGACGTTGTCAGCCAAGAAGCTCTCGCCAAAGCATTGGAGACCTTTGATGGCGCCGTAGTTGCCGTGACGCATTCTGAGGAGTTCATGGGCGCTCTACGACCAACTCAGTTATGGTCAATCGAGAAGGGTCGGTTCTCAGCAACTCCCGTGAGGGATGAGGAGGAGTTCAACGAGGTGTTTGGCGATTACAAGAGGCGTGCAGTCAAGGAGGCTCGTAAACTCATTAAAGCTTCCAAACTCAATGGTGTATTGTAAAACATCGAACAGTGTTTCACTTGTTTCTCATTGCGCAGAGTTGATCGTGGCATTGTTCGGGCGAGCAAGGGTGGCATCGTGTCGTTACAACGGTATACCACTGATGTGTGGATGCAATCGTGTCTGGGAACTTTTGAGGCATACATCCTACAAGGATGCATCGTGTTGGAGAACGGCCAACGTTAGATCTCCTCTTAGCCGATGAGGTGAGGCGATGTTAGTCTAACTAAGGCGTGTTGGCGGCGTTGGACTTTGAACTCACACACACACACCTGTTACGCCACTTCTATCATTTCTAAACATGAAGATACTTCGTAGGGCCTATCTCAGCAGTGCTTCGCTAGTCAATCCGAAGTCGCCTGTGAGTTGCCAAATGCTCCTGTTCGCATGTTATGCGAACCCGGTTTGTATCCCAGAATCTATCGACTGTCTTCCGATCGATGTGCGTGGTCTGAGTCTCAGACTGAGATGTCGACTTCATCAAAAAAATCAGCGCAGCGGCGTCGAACTTTTGTCAATCACACACCTTGTTGCCTGACTCCCGACCCGATTTCTAGAGTGATTCCTTTGGGCCACAAGACCAAACTATGTTTGGACACTGTAGGCAACATAGAGTGAGCATTAGACTCCTCACGTCATACGGATTTGTACTATGACCCCGGCCCGATTCGAACGGACAACCTTCTAATCTGGAGTCAGATGCGTTACCGTTGCGCCACAGGGCCAAACTAAAAACAATATTTGAACGCTCAAGGCAAGACAGAGCGAGCGCTACATTCCTCGCTTCATGTAATACACTACTTATGTGACCCCGGCCCGATTCGAACGGACAACCTTCTGATCTGGAGTCAGATGCGCTACCGTTGCGCCACAGGGCCAAACTGAAAAGGACACTTGGACGCTCAAGGCAAGACGGAGCGACCGCTACATTCCTCACTTCAGAAAATAAACTAGTAATGTGACCCCGGCCCGATCCGAACGGACAACCTTCTGATCTGGAGTCAGATGCGCTACCGTTGCGCCACAGTGCCAAACTGCAAAGAATATGTGGACGCTCAAGGCAAGACAGAGCGATCGCTACACTCCCCACTTCATTCATGAAAACAGGTGCAGGGTCTCGGCTTGATACGACCGGGCAACCTTCCGATCCGAAGTCGGATGCGCAACAGGGTCAAAACATCTTTAACCGATCTATAAATACTCTAGGCAATGTGGAGCAATTGCTATACCCCCAGTTGGTGGTATGATAACGGCATGGTTCAGAGTCTGAACTTCAGACGAGCAACTCTCTGATCTGGAGTTGAATTGCGTTGACCCTGTTCAAAGCATTGAACAACGTTGTACCCCATCACATGTTCTCGAGGATTAACTTTGCACAAGGTATGTGCCGAATGCAGTCGGACAGGAGTATGATTAATAACATTACGAGGATGTGTCGCACTCTCGAAACTATGTATCCGGAAATTTCGAGGTCGCGTGGATCATACCATCCAATTCGACTGCGTCAGTGGGATATCAAACTCGGAATCTCTCTTCGTGTCTCTGTGTATCACCATATGAGACCCATGAATTGTGACGCGCAACTAATCCAAGTTACTGGTTACTGAGACGGGACTACTAGATACTATATATGCAACATCGTCAGAGCCATCGTTGTCGAGGAATAGGATCAAGCCAGCTTGTCATTCTATGGGCCACAATAGTAGTAGCAGCAGTAGCAAAGGACAAATAGTACTATGAACGAGAAACGACACTATAGTGATGCTGATGACCACGGTAAACAATGATACGCTTCTAGCACTCGCATTGCTGCACATTAGAGCTCTGATTGTCGGCCGGAGGATTATTCAAGTTAAGTGTTTGGGATAAATACCTGATAATAGAAGACATCAAAAATAGATCGATGATTGGTATCTCACATTTGCTCCTGCTCCTTAGCCATTGCCGCCTCGTTCTGCAGCGCCCGTCGTGCAATTTCAATGAAGGCCTAACATGAATTATAAACGCTGGGACAGAACCGATTCCCACAGAACCTGCTCAACATTCAGAGAATCTTTGGCGCTAGTCTCGAAACACGGAATATTATCCTTGGATCTGCACCAAGTGGTCGCTCTTGCCTTTGATACCTAGCCAGAATGACCCGTTACAAGCGCACCGATGAGGCCAACAACCCTAGTACTTTTCGCTTTGCCTCCATATCCAATTTATTCCCGACTACCACAAATGGGAACTCCTCTGGATCCTTAGGCGACGCCTGATGTGATAATACTCGATATAAACAAGGAGATCTCCAACGGCTACCTGTATGAGGAACTCATCCCGCCAGGAATCCAGACTCTCGAAACTCTTGGGATTAGTTATGTCATAGACCAAACAGCAGCAATCAGCACCACGGTAAAATGCCACTCCTGAAAACAGCACTAGGCACTACGATAAAAGGACAAACTACCTAGACTTTGGAATCTCTCTTGGCCAGCAGTATCCCAAATCTGAAGTGTCACCACTTTGTCGTCAATCGTCACCTCCTTCGTGAGGAAATCAGCTCCAATAGTGGCCTACAGCTAACCCCATCGGGCACAAGCACAACCGACACCGGATCACCTTGTATTGTGGACTGAACTTCTTGTTAACATACTGATTCATAAGAGATGTCTTCCCTACCCTAAAATGGCGATCAAATATTCATGAATCCTCTACGCTGCTCCTATCACTACCCACTATCGCCCAGAATGATGACTTTCAATAGAACCTTCTTCCTAGGTGCTGAAGACATTATAAACAGATGGATTGACTAACGACTATGGCGATACTCAGGCTGGCAGTCTAGCGTCACCCACCAACGATGAGGCTCTTTATCGAATTCAATTCGGTGCTCCACGACTTCACTGAAGACAAATAACCACGATAAACCGGAGCGCCAATCGCGTGCGCCATGTTGATCGATTTGGATTCTAAGTTCTGGACTGTAACTCCACCCCCATGGTCGAAGAAACGTCTGTCACAGACCATCATGCGGGGCGATTGATGATTTCCTTTCGACAGTATGTGCTGACATGAATCTCAAACTCATAGCAGACAGTCTGTACCGTATTCCTAAGAGAGTCTCGAGTGCCGGCCCGACACTGTCGGGAGTCATATAGACTCAGCAATCTGAAGGGACCATCCAGCTGGAGAGTTGAGAAGAATTGTTTGGGAGGAACTGTAGTCAACGGGAGGACGGGGTGGCACCCCGGGGGTGCCCACGAAGCATACGCATGTGAATCTAACAACAACACGTTGTAAGCTCGGATACGACAACGAATTGAAAAGAGCTATGCTCCGACAGCCGAACAAAATCAAACAGACTCCGATTTAAGTAACCCGAATTGGGTTATCGCTGAGCGACCTACTGTTTTGATTGATATACCACCATCATGGTGCCACCATATACCACCATGATGGTGGTATATCATCGCCAACTGTATGCCAATCTAGGCCATACTCTTACGAGAGTAACCCACGTGAACTCAATGACCGAGTGCCGCACCGCACGCATGAACGACAGCAATGAATGATGGCATCAATAAACTGAGTTTACAGCTCAATTTAGCTGAGATCTCGTCATCTATCTCAAACACCCCCGTAGTTGGCATAGTTCTTTACATTGTGTCTACCTACTCCTCCGTACTACGGATTCCGTAAGCTTGCTACGCCAACAATAGATGAGAGCTCCACGTCCTTGTACAGAATCCACCGTTTATAGTAACGGTTACACTCTGGGTTACACAGCGCATCAGATAGTCATAGTCGCTACTAGCCAACAATAAGCTTCCCTTCAATCAGCCGTTCTCGTACTTCTCAGCTGATCTGATTAGAACTGGACTGCCTTCTCTCACATGGTTGATGAAGTGATCAATGCTTATCGCCTCGAATGAGTCTCTTTTTCCCAGGCGCACATCTTCATAATCACCATCATTATATTTCCGGCTAGCTATACGATCGTCACAGCCATCACGAGTCCACAAGATGATCCATCCAACACTGTATATCTGATAGCTTACTCGAGTGAGTAGTATGTGATCATTCACCAAGTCCATCAAGATAACGGAAATAATTACCGTTACTCAATGCTCGTTTCTTGATCTCGGCATCCGTATCATAGAGTATTCGCGACCTGCCCGAAGTGAATATACGCTAGCGATACCTGCGTATTGACCTCCGGCTTACCAACCGGGCTAGTCATATAGTGCCATCGTGAAGCCTGAGGCTGCCTCAGCTATGTCCTCAAATCAATCAGGACTGCTGGTAATTACTCCATGCAGGTAGTAGTTAATGGGTCAGACAATCTGACGTATTGCCCTAATGCGGGTCAGAGTGCTAACATATTGATCTCTCAGTCTGACTCAGACCAAGAGATCGGATGAGAAGTCCTCATTGAGGACGAGATTCATCCGCATTCTCGTCGCTATGAATCTTCGGCGACTAGCAACGTCTCTATTCCGTCGGCTAGCGAGCATAGAAAGGGAAAAAGCAACACATTCAAGGTGTCAACCCTGCGATGGCCTCTAAAGCCAGGCTTCACGATTCGAGTACGCAGTGCATACTGCGCACAGACAAGGGGATCACTTCCCGCTGTTGTGTTGTCTAGTACTAGCAGATTCCCAGGACTAGACAACAGAACAGGTGTCCTCTGATACTTATAAAAGCACTAGCCGTCGGCTACCAGCATGAGCTTCCATCAGGTTCTCACCGCCCCGTTAATTCGGATGCCGTTGTTGAGCATGGACAGGCCGTAGTTGTCGTAGTCCACGGTCGGGTACTGACGACCGCCAACGAAGCTCGTCCTCCGTGCCCTCCGTGAGGCTGTCCTACCTGAGTGATCCTGTAAGATAGCGGAGGCACCTCTGCGGAAGCAACAATTCTGGACTCCAGTTCCTGCTGCTGCCTTGCTACCAGCTGGGTCACTGCCGAGACTCTTCCAGTACATGGCAAAACTATCACCTGATCATTGAGAGATCGGATCAAAACTCCCAAATACCTCGCTACATGGCATGAAGACCTCATGATGAGGTGAGGTCTCGTGTGCTACGTCATCGCCATTGCAGTTTTATCACGGGAAGTTGACATACAATAAGGAAAGAGGAGAGGAGCTGACTCTGAGGCAGAGACTGCGGATGCGTACCAAAACACGAGGTCCCGAAGGAGACGAAAGAGTACCAGCAACAGTGAAGCAGCTGATGGAAATGATACACTTAGGACTACAGTAGCCGGTGAACACTCACTGGGGTTACCTTAATCCATCTTTCTTTGCCTAGAAAGATGAGGGAGATCCATTAGCGTTGAGGGAACATTACTTTCCGCTTAGCTAGAAGCTCAGAGCTCATCACTATCAGAAAGATCTCTGATCGGCTCTCTACGCGGGAGGTTATACAAGAGTGACTGGGCGTGTCTGAGATATCGCTCGCCACTTCGCAAACTCCTCGAGCGATCTTCTCACATTACTCCTCATTGCGCTTATGAACAAGTACCAGCGCCAAATCCGCTAACTGTAGTCATGCGGCATACCTTGGATGTAAAGGAGGTAGGCTACCTCAGGTAGCCTTTCACTGCTTCGAGTTCAACATTGTATGACGTCACGTCATTGACCGTCAATGATTGACGTGCCCGGATCAAAAATAATTCTAAATTCACTGCGGGTGTGTAGCTCAGCGGTAGAGCGGCTGACTGCAGATCAGCAGGTCCTCGGTTCAAATCCGGGCGCGCCCTCTCAACATATTTTTTTGCACAGTTTCTATTGCGACTCGTTCGACGAGGTTTATCTACTATATACACGTCGAGCGAGGCTCAGTTACGGACTTGAACACAGCAGAACTAGGTGACTACCAACTCGGCAGACAGTTCCATGATATGTCCAACTTCTCGGCTTGGGAAGGCTGGAGCGAAGGAACTTGAACCAGGAGTGTACGGTTCATGATCCAGCCGAGCCGGCTAGAGAACTTGTAACGGAAGATGTCGAATGCTCCACTTCCCCTGGGAGGATGGCGCACACTTCTCAATCTTGCCTTAGTCGTATGGTACCACTTGTAAGCAGAGACGGCTTTTTCTTCACTCTCCTGAGTTACTTTTTACCAGTTACAACACTAACGGGCCTATAATCTTTTTTAGGACTGCGTCCCCGAATAGAGAGCAACTTGAAGTCGAGTGCAAACTGCTACACTAGGGACCCCCTCCTAGCCTGCCCTTCTCTTAGGTGCTTCGTCCTAACAATAGCTGGTCTGTCCTCACCTCTATTCACGTTATCTGGAATGATCCGCAACGATCATGCATTAGCGTTGTTATGCGAAGCTCAACCCTTCAAAAACACTTCAATCTCATCCCCATCTGCCACCAGCCACTTACCATGTGGTTTCTTATTCGTGTAATTTGAAGCCTCTCTCCACTCGACATCCAGAAGGTGCCCACCTATCGTTGGTGGCCGTTACGGTCAGACCGTATGGGGACCTTCCCATAGTATCGAGGCTTAGCGATGTAGGTCGGGACGGATGCCAGCTGGAACTCTCGGAGAGTTACTCTCCATAGCCGTCTCAAAGAGCATTTTAGAACCAGGCTCTTGAAGACTACACTTTGAGTCATAGAACTGCCAAGTGATTCAGTCACTCTGATGGATGAAACAGGAACTGCATATGATCATATTCGCACCAGAAGTTGCAACACACAGCACTCATTGTCATCTAGGGGTCGGCACCGAATTTTTAGAAGAGGTTTGGCTCGGTTCGGAGTTTGGTTGATCAAGGTTAGGTCCGGATAGTTCGGTTTCCCCGAATCCGAAACACGTTCTGTTCTTCCGGACGTCGGTCGAATGATGACCATTATCATCATCATCATCATCATCATCATCATCATCAGCAAGCGAGTTGAGGGTATCTCGAAAACGTCAAAATCTCGCATTTGCATAATCATCACAGCACGGACACCCCCGGGACGTATACATAGCAAGTTCAACAACCCGTGCGATCGCAACTGGAGAGCATTGTTCGACCTGCGCGTTGGTTGTGTGGCTAATGAGAGAAGCTTTCTGGCCTTGAGGCAAGGAGCGCATCATAGCCGTAGTCCGACGCAAGAGTTTAACAGAGTCGTTCGACTCAGCCACTTGACCTCAGATCTCCCTTCAGGCGGGTTGGTGGGAAGACTATCAAGCCAAACCCGACTGGCAGACTGCGAACTCTTGAGCTTCTGGCGGTCCTTGGCCTAGCTTACTAGGCACACAAAGCCTCGACTAATGCTGGCCTCGACATTCGTCTAGTCGCTAAAATAGCCAGACGGCAGACAACTCGGGTCACTGGTGACCTTCAATATGGAGTTTCGGGCGAGCGCGAAACTAACTGCTCCGCCGCCGCCGATCTCCATGTGCGCGGTCAATCGCGGCCGGAGCGCCACGAGACGGCAGAGCGTAACGTTCATAGTCAGCGTTAATCGTATTTTTTAACCACTGGTTTTCCTCTCCTTCACTGATGCTTGCCATCCGTCGTGCTTCTAACTCATTGGAGAGATCGAGTCGTCGCTACTCATTCAACAGCAGGGTCCGTTCATATACCATCGATCTCGCGATTTATCCCCTCAGGCGACGTTCACTGGTATAAAGATGATGAGTGAACGCGAAAGGGCAGCTGAGAATATTTACTTCTCACAACAGGACGGTAAGGTTCGAAAAGAATCTTAGGTCGAGGCGCGTAAGATACGAATCATGTCGAGATACGAACTGGAATGATTTTTATGTGGGGACTGGGAATGTTCATGCTGATTCTCAGAGGCGCTTTTGAAGAAGATTTTGGAAGATAATCCCGAGATCGAGGTTGAGCGCGACCTCCAAAGATCAGTAAGATACCCCCTCATCTACCTATTGTTATTACCTTAACACAACTACCTCGATTTTGAAACATTCAACATCTTGAGAGCCTTTGTGAGAAGTAGTTATTGTTCTTTCTTCTCAGCCAGTGCACACAGGCAGCTCTATACAGGATAAGGTGAAAATGCTGTTCATACAAGTAAACACTGCAGGCCTGGTCAGGAGTGGTGATCCTCACTCTCAGAACGGCATTCCGCCAACAGCGAACCCTCCTCTATTGGAGGATCTTGTTCAGCTTATTGCTGAGGAGAAAAAAGCTAGCATGAGGGATGCTATGGCGGCAGAGGCTAAGGCGTAGCAACATCTGATAGAAAAATAGGAAAATTGTGTTTGTACCAGTGGTAGTTTATCGTTCTTTCATGGGTACAATCTCCAGTAGTGGTAAATTATCACTACTCTTGATCGTAGTTATGTAGTTGACGTCAGTGAGTAGTTGACGGTTGGAAGGCGTTATGATCAACTAGATTGGTGGATGACCTCAAGCACAATTACGCGTGGTAGTTGAACCTTTTCGTATGATTGCTGAACTGTTTTTACGCACTACGGGTATCTCTTTGCTCCGTCATCATTATCATGAGCATCCTCCTTAAGGAGAGGCTGATCAGTGATGTTGGTGACGGAAGAAGAGTACTATGAGTGCATTTTTTGATAATATAAGTGGACCGTTGAGATGATGACATTCGAGACACATTTTTTGGATAATGTGATTTCAATCAGTGTTGAGCACGAGTACCTATAGAATAACAACCGAGTAGTTATAGTTGGGGTATAATAATCCGACCGAGCAGTCTATGTCACTGAGGTTGGCGAGGATGGATGATACAGGGCCTGGTGGTAGTAGCAGCAGTTCCTCAGCCGCGAACATCGGCGTGCAGGGAGCTGACGAGGATGGTAAGTCGATATCCTATTGTGTCGCTGTTGTAGCTGCTGGGCTCCTAGGGGAAGTATCGAATGATGACGATGAAGAGTCTATCAGCAGTATGAGCTCATCTGAGGAACGAGATCTTATGGTTTCCAGTACGGAACTGCAGGATTCAGGTATGCCGTATTGGCTCAAGTAGACTCTTCGGTGCTAGGAGTATTAATTCCGATCCTATTGGTCGGAAATTCGTCTATGTGAACCATCTGTGCTGAATTCGAACTGGATCGTTGATGATTGCTTTTTGCTATTGTAGAGCCCCTGCATTTCTCGACTATAGACGGTGATGACAACACTGAAGGTGTGGATCTGACCACCATCTCAGGGGGCTTACCGAGGATATACCATCATACCCAGGTGATACTTCTATTGTCAATACATCGCTAATGGCGGCCTTCAGATAGGGCAGTGCTTGGTTGACGTCTTACACGACTTGATGTCGGAGGGTAAGGCATCTTTAGAGGATAAAGAAGTGGCCCTCAATATTCTAGAGGAGGTGACTGCTGATTTTGTCGCGATCGATTTGGGATAAGTTATGTCTCAGGAATTCCAATTGGCCTTCAAAAACTTATATCCGGGAGTACTGGACAGCAACTCTAAGGGTCGCGGAAAAGGTACTATTTTTATATGTAATCCTCGCATACTTGAATTCTAACCATGAATTACTTCCGAAAAAGCTTTCGACGAAGGCTCGCCTTCGTGGCTTGTTTCTGATATCATTTTGGGTTGATAAATTCGTTACATTTTTTACCGTCAAAAAATTTTCGTGTCCTTGCCCGGGTTTGGTGAACATACGTATGGCACTAACAGATATACAGAAGAACGTCTCGGAAAAATGACGAGTTATGCTTCAGTGACAGTCTAGATTTTTTTCAGGTAGTAAGAAGCGGAAACGGAAGGGGAAGCACAATTCAGCAGAGCAAGGAGAAGGTCTTGTGGATCAAGTGATTTTAATTCTGGATCAGTCCATGATTTCTCGAATTTATAATGTCCATAGGATATATTATCCATTCTCCGAGACGATCCGTTGTTCTCAAGAGAGGACAGAGGCTCGAGTACTCATCAACTGCAGAGGTCTGACGGGGTCCATGCCCAGCGAAGTCAGACTACTCAGATGGCACTAGACCGAGGAGCTACTACGATGTAGTGAGGGAATGGTATTCGGTATTTGATACGTTGAAAGAGCCTTTGTCGTTATGGTTAGGAGGTGGCTACATCGATGCCTCTCAGGTACGGAGGTGGGGCATGGAAGTTTACTGGTCGGCTTGATGAAATGGGTTCTCTCAGGGAATGCCAGGGTACTCTTATGCCTCCTACTCCTGCGTTGTGGTGGATTGACCTTTTCTCAGCTCTCCAGTGTTCAACGCTTCTTCGTGGTTCGAAGGCCGAGATGAGTTCGCCGTTGATACAACTCAACTTCGATGAGATTGAAGTTAGAGTCGCGGATCGTTCTGAGAGAGCAGCCGCTTCTAGATGAACCTATCGAGGTGAGATCATCTTCAGTCCAACTTGGGGCTGAGAATAGTTCTTCGGATTTTCAGGTGAGCTGCCGGGCTTTTATTCGAGAACTGTGGTCCACTAGATGGAATTATTGCATTGAATTACCAACTCTACGATTACATAGATGAGGTTGCGTTTTGGGAGCGAGGACTCGGTGCGGACGTCTTTTCTGTGCTTTTCATCCAACGTAGTTCATGTCATTATGCGGGCAGAAACTTGAAGTTGTTTGTTACGGCGACTACGAGCTTGGGAAGACGCCAAGGGTTGTAGTAATGGGGACTGCCTTCGCATATGAAGACGAAAAATAGACTTCATTTTGAAGCTCGCTGGAAGGGAATGAGAAAGCTGGATGTGTTGGACTCCGGTTTTCATTGAGCGGGAGACAATGGCCACGAAGTTCTCGCAGGACCATGGTAATATCACGTGTCGAACTCTGCTACTCACCCGCGCGAGTGAGGTCCACTCATGTTGGATGGCTCATAAGCAAGTGGTTGCCTCTCAGTAAGCCATATCTTTGCAAAAAATACTTTTCCATGCCTTTTATACTGTATGCAATTACAAACATGCCTGGCATGTCATGCCGCGCAGCCATGGCTCAGATTTGGGTGAGCTGATCGCAAGGTTACAGTTTACGATGCGGCTTGCATCTCACAGGTCTCTGACTGCTCACGTTCATCGTAGTTGCTCAGTTCAAATGTCTCCCATGATGTGTTACGTCGTGAGGGTCTCATCATGAAGTGTGGCTGAGCCACAGTTAACCGTTAGTAGCTCGATAACTGGTGATCATCGTTCCCCAGCTAGCAGCTAGTACTATTATCAATATGTTTATATACGTATATAGGTACCCTGAGAACTCGATCACCACGATAAGAATCTCTGATAAATATTGCTGAGCAATAATTGCTCTCCTTCTCTGCCGGATGGCTGCATTGTACTGGCCATTGACGGACACTTCAACTCGATCCGAGGCCCCGGGACTCTCATCGGAATTGCAGTGTGACCCTGCCAGTGTCTACACACACCACACAAGGCAGACGGGAGGATCGGGTAACCCGATTCGGGTTGGAGTGTTGGTCCACTTGTTGTGGCGCTCTGCTTGAACGAAACTAAAAATTTATGAATTTCCTCTTGCGGAGGCTTCTATAGTATCATCACTATAATAGTGATGGCAAGACTACGAGCTTACTGACTACGCGTCAACCGAGTCACATCATCTCTGACGCTGCCCCAGGCATCATCACTGCCGTGAAGGAGGATTTCGGAGACGTAATATCCAAAGGTGCAGCTTTCACCGCAAGGAGTCAAAAAAGTGACTCTCTCCTCTCGTGTTTTACGATGCAAAAAGTTGTATACCTACGTAGTTGCATACGCATTGTACGATACTCTCAGAAGGGATGCATACTCGGTGGATCCAAGGCAAGCTACTGTAGATGAGAATGGATCTTTATCCAATCATTTCTAATGGAACTCTTATTCGTGACGATTTAGCTGTCAATTCAGCTGGCTCGAAATCGTTTCGCACTTGTCAACTTCCTTGTGATTCGAGTTGTGAGATTTTGGATGGCAGCATTATGCGCTACATGCGAGTCGCATGATGCGATCCTACTTGCTTAATTAAACTCTAGTTGAGCGATTGCATCCGGTGTCCTCTGAAGCTGAGGAATGCATCAGATGAAATTCATTTGATGAATGACATCGGGTCAAAGTATTCAGAATGAATAGGTGACCATAGAAATATCCCGCGACCTCATGGTCGACGGTGACACTGTCACATTTTTTACACTGTCACAGTGTAGACGTTATAGCTCTAGTCTCGTAGTGTCAAGTCTCTCAGTGTGTGTCTCGATCGGCTAATGATTGCTGGTCTTAGAGAAACGAAGATTCATCGAGAGAAGAAGAATAAGCTTTGCTGGAAAAGTTAGGCCGTCGGATGGAGATCAGCGACATGCATTAGAAAGGAACGCATACGGCGATGGAAATTCTACCCAGAGAATATGGTCAGTCTGACCAAATCAGAACAGTGGGAACAAAGAGAAGCTCAACTAATAAAGCAGGATCAGCCTGGTGAAAACGATATCGAGAATCGCTAGGTGTATCGATGTCGATTTTCTCTCAGATGGCTGAGTAGCAGTGTTAGTCGAGCGGCTCGACACGAGCCTACAGAAGAGGTGAGTGGAGGGTCTCGATCCAGGTGGAGAAGTCCTACATGTGTCCCTATGATTTCAATCTAGTCACTTTTCCAGCGTGTATCTTTTGCAAAAGTTTGTGTTAGTCAACAGTTGGGAACACTCGAGTACGAGAAGTTGTGGGGTTCTAAAGGCAATAGGAGCTAAGTAGAATACGCGCAGCGATCCAGAGGGGCACGGGTGCGAAACAGTAATAGAGCTCTGGTGTGCTATAGAGCTTTGGTGTGCTTGTGTTTTGGAAATAGGACACTCTGGTTTTGTGCTCATCACCTCGCTGGAAGATGTCGTGAAGCTTGTTGACATTATCTATGATGTGGAAAGCGTTATCGGCGAGATATTTCCTCAGAGAATAATATTATATAGTCCCAGTTTGAAGAAGCTTGATTAAGTTATCTTTATTATGTCATCGACAGTTAGCGTTATTTGCCTCAAACTACACACCGATTCCGAGATACTTCGTATAAGGGTTGATGCCGAGGAACTCCAGACCTACGACAAGCTCTGTGAATATGTCGAGAAGGCCTGGCGTGAACTCTGAGGGACTATAGGCTATTCTATATGGATGAGGATGACGAGTTCTGCCTTCTTAACGATCTGTCACTTCCCGATGCGGTAGCATTTGCTGAAGCTAAGGGAACGATTTTCAATTCCGTGGCTCTACTGGATCTCTACATTGATGTCGATGGTGGTAGCTACTCGAAGATCTCGACTACATGAACAGTCCTCTCTCTGCTCTTCAACTGGTCAACAGCATGTTGGCTGCAGATCAGGATATTGATAAGGTCGCTCAATCCCTGGGGATAAGAAAGACGGATAGGTGCAGCAGGACTGATGCTGATAAGTCCAACAAGAAGTCTTCTTCCCAAATACTTGGGAGGGAGCAGCAGCAGCAGGTGAAATCGAAGTTACTTGTAGTTCTGATGTTCTTTTGTGAATTTCTGATGGAAATGTTCACTTATGCTCTTACATACAAATTTGATTCTCAAAGTTCCCTGCAGTGAGCTGGGATGTGTTGTATTGACGGAAGTTGTGGTGAAGGTAAACTCCTCTGAGAGGAGACCTCTCCCCTGAAAATCAGTACACTGTATTGAGAACGCAGCATCGAAGAGTGAATGCTAACAAGATCCTTTGATGATTAAAACATAGATGCTACTGGATATTTCCTATCATTCTGTACATGAGAAGTTTTAATTGAGAGCCAACCATTGAAGAATCCAGGCATTCGACGTCATCACTGTTTTAACACTGTGATAACACTTTCCGATAACAGTGTTATCGGAGAGTTATCAAGAGGAGATTGATTCGATGTTGAGTGTCTGGTCGCTAATCAATCTGTACAC